GCTGCTGTGTCACCTCGCCAGCAGACTCATTTCCAAGAGTCGCTCTCTCTCGCACTCACGAGGCGTCACATAGGGGTGCGAGAGAGACAGAGCGACGAATCAGACTGCTGCATACGCCCCACGGCGCCCCACGGCCTCCAAATTATCGGTCGCATTCGGGCGACGGGGGCAGCCGCGCGGGGGCCTTGCCCGGCCTGCCGTTTTACGGTGCAGCCTCACGTGCAGTGCAGTGCAGTGCAGTGCAGGCCCACAGGGCAGTGTGGGCGCGGGGTGCGAGTCAAGTGCTCCGGCGCCGAAAAAAAATATAATAATCCAGTGCAGGCTGCAGGCGGCTGGGCGCGGCGGCCGTCCTCACACGTCGTCGCCCAGCGGCGTGACATTTTAATGGGCCGTGCATGATGCCGCCGCTACACTGCAGCGGCGCACCGCGCCGAGCCGACTTTTCACGTGACACTAGAAAATGGAAACGTGAGAGTATACTTTGAGTTTCGTTCGCGATGCGGAAGAAAAAAATGAGGTAAAATGCGGGAGGTTCAATGGGACCATAAAGATGCAGTCACAAAACGAGGGGCTATACGAGGTTTGGCCACAGCCCTGTGGAAACCGACTTCCACGTTCAAGTCACTGGAGTCAATAACCGTGGTGTTTTTGTTTAATAATATAGTCGAAAAAAGATTTGAGATGTTGGGAGTCGATCCCAGGACCCAGCTGATGGAATGGAACCACACGTCTGTAATCTGTCAGCTAGCAGAGCCGAGTGAGTCCTGTCATCAGCTCTGTCGGACGAGACGTGTTTCCTTGCTCAAGAAACGACTTTTCAAGTTCATTAGGTTTTGTTTTGCATCGAGAGCGACGGTCTTCTTGGAGACGGCGAAGCACGGCGTCGTTGTCCTCGCTGCACCTGTGCGCGCCGGGCCGGCCGGCCTCCGGGGTCCTCTTCCCTTCTCTTGCCGGGCCATGCCGGGCATGATCAAAGCGTAGGCGGGGCCGGCGGGGCTGCTCACGGTGCCGTGCCTTTTACACGGCCGGGACAAAGTCTCTGCTCCGTTATCGTCTTTTCAGTCCCATACCCTTCATCCCGGCGGGCCGTCAGGGGCGGCGGGGGCCGCGGGGGCCGCGGGGGGCGGGGGCGACAGCGTGCCCAGGGGCGCGCTGTGCGCTCCACCGGGGGGCGCCCTTCCCCCCACCCCGCCCTCCTCGAAACATAACCCGGTCCGGGCTGCGGGGGCCCCGGGGGCCAGGTGACGGGGCCACCGGCCATGACAAAGAAGCCTCGGAAAAAAGGGGAACAACCCGGTCGGGTTTTGTCCGGCGGCGCGTGGTGCACTTGGACCCGGATGTGTGTTTTTCTTCTTCGACGGCGACGTCGTGGTCGCGGCGCCGCGCGCGCTGTTTGTCGGGTGCGATGCAAGGCCGTCAGGTTTCGGGTCGGGACGTGGAAAAACGTGGGCACTTCAGAATAGGAAGCGGCGGCGCTGAGAATCGAACCCGAAACGTCGTGACTTTACTGACGCTGATACCACTGAGCTAACAAGAGAGAGTGTGAACCTTCGCACGTCGCGCGACGTGCGAGACGTGCATGTTGTGGGAGCGGGATCCATCTCTGTCCATTGCTAACTAACTTTGGCTTTGACGCCGGTGCGCTGGGGCATCCGAGGGCATTCCTGCTGGCAAGTGGGGTGGCAAGTCGAAACTAAATTACGTAGAGAATCCCCGTGGCGCGAAGCGGAGCATGCCGCACCGGTACGTACTGCTCGGTACTTGGCGTGGAACAGGCACTATCCGTTTGCCAAGACCGTCCTTGTTGTGTGTGTGTGTGTGTGAGGGAGAGAGAGAGAGAGACAGACAGACAGACCGCGCCGCGGTATGGCAGATGTGTTGCCGATATGCCAATGACAAAGCCCCAGACGTTTAAAAAGTGAGCCAGAGAAACAAAGAGGAAACGGAGACAAAGAGAGACAAAGGACATCACGCGGGGTCACTTTCCAATCCGCGAAAGTTTTTCCTTCCTCGGACTGATTCGGAGGCCGCATGAACGCAGCGAGGGATGAATGTCCCCTTTTTGTTTGTCCCGCTTTGCACTGTTTGCGGTTCGCGGTGTTGCAGCGGCGCCAGCCGCCGGCGTCCTTGGCTGCCTTCCGCGCTGCGCGTGCTGCCTTCAGCTCTCGCTTCAGCTGGTCTTGGCAGGCAGGCGTTTGGCCGCCAACGCCACGGCAACGCCATTGCCTGGCTGCTCTATTTGCCCCTGCACTGCTAATTGGTGGCGAGGCCGGCGGAGGCAGCAGGCCGATTCCGAGAGTCGTTTTCGTCGCTCTGCCTCTCTCGCACCTGCACGGGACGCCCCATGAGTGCGAGAGAGACAGAGCGGCGAGAACGACTCTCGGAATCGGCCTGCAGGCAGGCTGGGCCGGGCGGGGCCGGGCACACCTGCTGGAATTAGCGCGTGATTAAAAAAGCGCGCCAAATATAAACAGCGAGTGTGCCGCGGCGCGGCTCGGCTGTCGGATCACGCACGGCGAGGCGCGCGAGGCGCGTTGGCAGGCAAGGCAAACACTCGTTAATGAGCGCTGGCTGCGCGCCCTTTGCTGTAAAAAAAGAGAAAAACACGAGCACACAAAAAAACGAGATAATTGTTTGGTGATTGGGAGTCGAACCCGAGTCCCCGATGTGGACCGGGATTCGGTTTCCGTGGTTCCCCCGCCATGGCTGTGATGAATGGTAAGAGAAACGACTCTGTCAATACGCGGCCCGCGGCGCGGAGTTTGCCGGCGATCAGCATTCATTGGGGGTCTCTGCGGCGGGAGGTAGCGACCCACCGACGCAGCCACGCAGCCACGCGGATGGGTCAAGTGCTTTCCCCGCCACACTGTACAGCGGACTGCTTCCGAGAGTCGTTCTTGTCACTCCGTCACTCGCACTCATGGGGCGTCCCGTATAGGTTCGAGAGAGACAGTGCGACGAAAACGACTCTCGGAATGAGTCTGCAGAGTACAGGCTGAACCGCGCACCGCACAGCCCAAGGCGCAGCCGCCCGCCGCGCTCAAATTTCCCCCCGAAAGGGAAAGAGGCAAACTGGAGGCCGCACTGCCACTGGAACCACTCGCAGTGAGGGCGGCCCGAACGGTCTCTCCGTGTACACGCTGCTCCCCACCGCATAGATGGAGTGCTTCGGCGTGGCCGGGCGCGGTGGTTTCGTCTCGCAGGGCGCCTTTGCCGGAGTAATCAGGGAGCAGGGCCAGTGGCCCTGGGCCACCTCGCCGTGCAGGCGCACCCTCACGGCACAGTGGATTTGCCAGAAGACCGGCGCAGGCGGCCAAAACCCCCAACGCGTTTTGGGCTCCAGAGTTGCTAAATCAGCGGTTCTCAACCTTTCTCGGCTCGCGACCCCAAATTTGTAGCCAAAAATTTCCGCGACCCCCAGGAAAAGTTTCGCGACCCCACGGGACCCCTCCTTTAGCATGCCACTGCGTCTGATCCGAGGCGGGCATTTTGCTCCCTCAACGGGCAATTGGTCTTTGGACCTTCCTTTAGCATGCCTCTGTTACGGAGTGCGATTATCAGTCTTAGTTTGGGAGCAGTATTGTCTCAAAGTTGGCCAAAACGCTCAGAAATGTCTTTAAAAAATCATGTTTTGGGTCGATTTTAAGCAGCCACTGCGTCTGATCCAAAACGGGCATTTTGCTCCCTCAACGGGCAATTGTTCCTTGGACCTTCCTTTAGCATGCCTCTGTTACGGAATGCGATTATCAGTCTTAGTTTGGGAGCAGTATTGTCTCAAAGTTGGCCAAAACGCTCAGAAATGTCTTTAAAAAATCATGTTTTGGGTCGATTTTAAGCAGCCACTGCGTCTGATCCAAGGCGGGCATTTTGCTCCCTCAACGGGCAATTGGTCTTTGGACCTTCCTTTAGCATGCCTCTGTTACGGAGTGCGATTATCAGTCTTAGTTTGGGAGCAGTATTGTCTCAAAGTTGGCCAAAACGCTCAGAAATGTCTTTAAAAAATCATGTTTTGGGTCGATTTTAAGCAGCCACTGCGTCTGATTCAAGGCGGGCATTTTGCTCCCTCAACGGGCAATTGTTCCTTGGACCTTTCTTTAGCATGCCTTTGTTACGGAATGCGATTATCAGTCTTAGTTTGGGAGCAGTATTGTCTCAAAGTTGACCAAAACAGGCACAACGATTTTTCAAAGACATTTCTGAGCGTTTCGGCCAACTTTGAGACAATACTGCTCCCAAACTAAGACTGATAATCACACTCCGTAACAAAGGCATGCTAAAAGAAGGTCCAAAGACCAATTGCCCGTTGAGGGAGCAAAATGCCCGCCTCGGATCAGACGCAGTGGCTGCTTAAAATCGACCCAAAACATGATTTTTTAAAGACATTTCTGAGCGTTTTGGCCAACTTTGAGACAATACTGCTCCCAAACTAAGACTGATAATCGCACTCCGTAACAAAGGCATGCTAAAAGAAGGTCCAAAGACCAATTGCCCGTTGAGGGAGCAAAATGCCCGCCTCGGATCAGACGCAGTGGCTGCTTAAAATCGACCCAAAACATGATTTTTTAAAGACATTTCTGAGCGTTTTGGCCAACTTTGAGACAATACTGCTCCCAAACTAAGACTGATAATCGCACTCCGTAACAGAGGCATGCTAAAGGAAGGTCCAAAGACCAATTGCCCGTTGAGGGAGCAAAATGCCCGCCTCGGATCAGACGCAGTGGCTGCTTAAAATCGGCCCAAAACACGACCCCAGCTACCTCGCCGCGACCCCTTAAAATTTTTTCGCGACCCCACTTGGGGTCGCGACCCTAAGGTTGAGAACCACTGTGCTAAATGGTACTCGAACCAACCGTGTGACCCCACCAATGGATTCCTCGTTCGGAGAGCAATCCATTGGTGGGGTCACACGTTCGGTTCGTGTCCCATTTAGCGACTCTGGAGCTCAAAACGCGTTGGGGCTTCTGACCGCCTGCTGCAGCCCCTGCTTCGTGTTGTTGCAGTGCGACCCGGGCGCGGGGGTGGACGCCTTCTTCCACGCGCTGTACGCGCTGCGCTCGCGGCTCACCCTGCTGCTGGGGTCGGCCTGCGAGGACGTCAGCGAGAGCGTGGCCAAGGTGGTGCCCTACTGGAACATCGTGCAGGTAAGTCATCGAGCCATTCAGAAAGAGTGGCTCTGTCTCTCTCTGGGGCGATAGAGACAGAGCGATGCGAACAGTGTTGGCAACCGATCTGCAGGCGAAGCAAGTCCGCTGTGGTTGTGATTCCTTGTTAACGATTTCACCCCGCTTAGACCCTCAACACTGTACTTTTGAGGAAAATTAAAAAAATTCCGAGACAGTTTAATTAATACTGTATGCAGAGTAGGTAACGGGGCCAGCAGCCGGGCACGGCGACTTCCTTCTTGTTGTCGTCGTCGTCGTCGTCTGGCGTGGCCGAGGCCGAGACGTGGCTCCTGGCGCTGTTGCTGCGCTGGGTTGCTGCGCTGGGTTGCTGCGCTGGGTTGCTGTGCTGGGTTGCTGCGCTGGGTTGCTGCGCTGGAGTTGGAGCCGGCTGCGCACGCCACGCGACGCCACGCCGCCGCGCGACCTCCGCTTCGTTCGTTTTTATGCCGTCTTTCACCGAAATTCGTTCTCTCCTCAGCGCCGCGGCGCTTGGTGCTTTGCGTGACGCGCGCACAGCAACAGCGCCATCAAAAGGTCACTGCTGTTCCCGTTTCGCAGTGTCCCCACGATGCACCTGTGTCGAAAGGGCTGCCAATCTCGGTCTGCCTGAGGCAACTTCTTAAGTTCAACATTCAAGTAAATTAACTGGTCGCAAGTAAATAACCCTGGTTCACATCGCCGTAAATCACTGCCATTAAATCAGTGTGAGACCATCCTCCAAAGACGTGTATGGTGTGCGCGCGTTTACGTGTGTGTGTGTGTGTGTGTGTGTGTGCGTGTGTGTGTCTGAGTGTGAGTGTGCGGCGCGCGCTTCACACGGGAAGTGCCCCGACAAGGGAGGCAAATCACTCAGGGCTCCATTGCACCCTGCCGGCCTGCCCCGACCTGCCCTGCCCTGCCCTACTCGGGCTGTGCTGGCAGCACCACGCCTCTAAACGCGCGCCCCGACCCTCTCACACAAAGCCCCACGTGGCGTTGTTTTTGTTGTTCTCGTCGCTGCTGATGTTGTTATCATTTGTGGTTGTTTGTTGTTCACCCCCAACAGAGTTGGTCTGGTCACTCATACCCCTCCCGGCGCCTCCTCCACCCCCCTTCCTGGCCTCGGTGTTTTGCGCAAACTGCCACAAACACTTTACGATGTTTACCCATATCGTGTCGCCCGGTTCATTCGACATGTTTGACACACACACGCGGTTTTCCCCACCCCGCCCGCCCCGCCCCTCGCAAATAGAGCCGTCCCAGCGGAGGACCGCGAGCACAGCCAGCACGGCCTGCTTGACAGCGGCATTCCTCTGAGCGGCGCGGCCGGCTTTGAGTTTGCAGCAGCAAAAAGCGAAACGACAACAGCAACAAGTTTATTGGTTTGGGATCGTCCACTTTATTCCGTTCGCGGCAAAACCGGCTCCTGGTTCCTGGAACGTCCTGGATATCGGCCATGTCTTCACTGTAGGTTACCTGGTAAAACCAATTGGCCTTTTCCTTTTGTCCACTTCTCCTGGCTGTCCTTTTGCTCGAAAGTCATCCCCACCACTCGGACACCGCATACTACCCCGTATAAGGAAACCAAACGAGTATTAACCGAGAAATTTGAAAGGGAAAATAAAAAATTTGAACTCTACACCCCCTCCCCAGTCTTAATGGGGAGGCCTCCTGCTTTACTTCGGTGTTCGGGATGGGAACCGGTGCTATCAGGTACCTGGGGTTAATCCCGTCAGCGACTCTAAGCGTTCGCCGGGGGACCCAGTAGGACCCCAAAGCTCAGGCAGCTGGGTGGGAGCACCCAGTACGAAGCTCTTTGAGGGGCGGGACGTAGAGTGAGACGACAGAGAGACAGAGAGAGACTCAGACAGAGAAGAGGTTTGGTGGGAGCTTCTTGTTTTCGTAGGGTTGGTTGTGTACCCCATGGTACCCCCACTGTCCGGCGCTCCCGTACCGAACATACAGCGTTTTAGGCCAGCTTCAAAGGACTTATCATCGCCTCCCCGACAAGTCAAGGAGGCACCACCCGCAACCACACACCGGGTGGTCTGGATTGATGGATCAAATACGCCATCGCTCCAGTGCCGAGGCCAACCCGCCGAAGCGGATTGCTTTTTAGACACCCACAGCGGAGTGGCCAGGTGAATGTGACTCTGACCACTACGCTATCACGCTTGTACGTCTGGCAGCGTGTTGGACGACGGGTTTGAGTTGCACTGGGAGGAAGGCCGTCGAAAAATGTAATGAAATGACGGGATTCGATCCCCGGACCCCGCCATCGGGATCACACGACTTTACGCTCTCGGCCACCACGGCCCATGATGAGGGGATCGGCGTGAGGTGGGTTCTTGAAGCAACAGGACTCGACCGACCCGGTCAAAATTTCGCAAGAAGTTGGGGGAGTCGAACCGCCGATCCTAGCACTGATAACCGACGCCTCTACTCCCTGGACCACCACGTCCCATGCTCGGGGTGGGCTCACGTTTACGGGTTTGAACCGCACTGGGTGAGGCGGTAAAATTAAATGGAAATATTTGTTAGGAGTCGAACCTCCGGCATGTGGGCCTGTTGCACACGGCTCCGCTCTCATGGCCTCGAACCACCACCCTTAGGATAGCAAGTCGAAAAAACTTTTGTGACGCTGGTATTCGAACGCCGGCCTGCGGTAACTCGATCCCACGTCTCTAACCTCTCGGCTATCACAGCAGTTGCGAAACGCGATGGATCATCTGCTTTCATTAACGTTCGTTGAATGAGATTTTTTTTCTCTTCCAGGATTTGGATACTCGAATCATCTTGGGCAGTTTCTCCCGGGAGGTGGCGCCACACATCTTCTGCAAGGTAAGCTCACCTCGTAGTGCGACGAGGGACCGGAAAGGATGGGGACGACCCCGGGAGGGGAGGGGGAGGGGGGGGGTGACCTGACCCCGTGCGAGGCTCAGTGGTCCCCGCGCGGTCGTCTAATGGTTTAATCGCTCGAAAAACAGGGCGGGCAGGGACGGAGGCAGGCACGGACGGTGAGGGTCTCTCCTCTCGGTCGGTCGGTCGGACGGACGGACGGACGGACGGACACAGGGGGCACACATGGATGGCAATGAGCATGGCCCCCTCCCCCGAATCTCCTGAGCAGCACGCTGCTTCCGAGTGTCGTCTTCGTCGCTCTGTCTTCTCTCTCACTCATGGCGCGTTCCCCGTGTACGTGCGAGAGAGACAGAGCGACGAAGGCGACTCTCGGAATCAGCCTGCAGGTGCGAACTGGCGATGTGGGGAGCAGGGCGCTGGGCGTAGGGCTGCCCCATTGGCCTCGTTCTGGGGAGCGTCAGGCGCAGCAGCCCTTCGACTACCTGGCTACACTGCCAAAACGAGTGGACCTAAAGCCCACGTAATGTAGTGGTTATCGTCACCTCACGCGCGTGCTACGACCGAGAGTTCGAAACCGAGAGAAATAACAAACAGGTAAACGAATAAAAAGTATCACGGGTGTCGAACCTGCCCGTCCACAGTGCACAGTGCACTCTGCATTGCATGCTGAGCGGGCCGAGACTGGCGAGACGCTGCAGGCTGATTCCGAGAGTCGTTTTCGTCGCTCTGTCTCCCTCGCACTCGCGGGGCGTCCCCTGCAGGTGCGAGCGAGACTGGGCGACGACAGCAGTGCTCGGAATCGGGCTGCTGGCGAGACGCTGCGGCCGATGAATGGTAAAAGTTAAATCGATTTTGTTGAGTGCCGCGCTGCGCGCTGCCGGGTGGCGCGCCTCCCCGCCGTCAAGACGGTGAGGACGGTGGTGTCGGCGGCGTGGCGCGGCTCGGCTCAGGCGTCGTCGGGCAGGCCCGGCAAGACCGGCCGTGACGCATGGCGCGGCACCGCCGCGTCCAACTCGATTACGGGGATCGACCGATTCCGAAAGATCCTTCCGTCGCTCTGTCTCTGTCGCACTTGTGCGGCGACCCGTCGCGGTGCGAAAGAGACAGCGCACCTTCGGGACTTCGGAACCGCTCGGCTGGCGGCTTGATCGAGGTTGGTTTGAGGCGCTCATTGTCCCCGTCGAGGCCGAGGCCGTCGTCGGCGACCTCCCCGCCAGCACACTGGAGAGTCCCAGGCTGCGGCGTCCCGGCCGAGACACGAGACGAGACACGCTCTCGTGGGACTGGCCCGTGTCCGCCCCCCCCCCTCCTCCTTTCCCCCGGCTCATGGAACAACACAGAATGGTGCGCGCGACGCGCTCCGGCGGCAGGTTGATTACGAACCGTTCCCTTTGTCGCTCTGTCTCTCTCGCACTCGCGGAGCGTTCCGAGTGGGTGCGAGAGAGACGGAGCGAGGAAGGCGCCGCTCGGAATCCGTCTGCACTGCACTGCACTCGCAGATCATTGCCACTCTCATTGCGCGTCCTCCCGGCCATGCATGCAAGTCTGAGGACAATAGACACTGTGTGTGTGTGTGTGTGTGTGTTTCCTGCTTTCTTTTTTCCTCCCCCTCCCCCCTTCCTCCCCTGGGCGGACGGGCTGACGACACGGCGTAGGCCCAACAGCTGCCCCGGTGATGATGGCGCCAGGCTGCGCGCTGCGCTCTCGCGGGCGCCCCTGCCGCCCTGCTGCCTCGATGCGATGCAAAGACAAGGCTTACGCCCCGCCCCGCCCCGCCCCGCCAACGCTCTACGCGCTCGCACCGGGAGGAACGCGCAAAGTGCCGCGCCGCCGCGGAACTCCCTAAACGCAACCTTGAATCCATTATTCATGGCGCCCCGCCCCGCCCCGCCCCGCCCCGCCCCGCCCCGCCCCGCCCACCGAGATTGTCGGCCAACGCGGCCGGACGGCCTCGCAGGACGCGCTTCACTCCGCGCTTTACAGGCGGGCAATCGGTGCGTCTGACCTGTTGGACTGTTGCCTGTAGTGCTGCGGCGACGCGCTGCGGCACGCCGATTGGTCTGTCTGTCTGTCTGTCTGCCTGCCTGCCCGGGGCGTCAAGCGAGGCGCCCGCCGGCAGCCCAGCAGACATGCGTGCGCCGCGGCACTGTATCGCATCACGCCGACTGCAGGCGCGGCCTTTTCCAGTCCGTCCCAGGCCGGGGGAGGGGGAGGGGAGGGAAAAACTTTTCCCGGTTTGCGCCGCAATCCAGTCGCCCAGCACAGAGTCTAGTCGAGGCTGTCTGTCTGCATCCTGACAGGCCATCTCCGGAAAACAAGAAAACGCCCCTCGAAAGAAGGTAAACTCGAATATTTTGCGAAAGTGGATGAGAACGGCAAGAGGACGTTGTTGCGGTGCAGTGCCAGCGCCAGGTGCCAGGCCCGAGGACGCTGCTCCGAGCGCCTTACGAAGCGAGGGTAGGCCTGCCCGCAAGGCACTCCAACTCGGCGGGCTTGCCTACCCTCGCTTCGTAAGGCGCCCGGCCTGGCAAAAAGCGGATTACTTGCGAATACTAATATGAACATACGCGTGCATTAAAAACTCACCGTGAAAGCCCCCTCTGGATTACCTTTCAAACGAGGAATCCTATAGGTTCGACTTAATTTGCATTCGCTTCATATCGTTCCGTTCCGAGTCCCAATTTGAGGACCGTCGAGCTAAACAGGCCATCTGCTGATCCCCTCCGATGCGGGTCGCCGTGCCTCCGCCACGCTCTGCCACCGCGCTCCGTGCCGCGCACCCGCAGTGCGAGTTTAAGCGCCCTTTGCCGTGGATCTCGAAATAACAACCGCATCGGAAACAAAGAGCAACATTTCGGCGCGCGCCCCGCCGCCCCACGTGCCTAACACGTGGCCAGCACAGCTGCCGCACTCCAAGTAGGCCTTCGAACGGCCACACGGCCAACAGTGGGTCAGACGACCGGACGCGTTTTGAGCTCCAGAGTCGCTAGACAGGACTCGAACCGAACGTGTGACCCCACCACCAATGGATTCTTCGTTCGGAGAGCAATCCATTGGTGGGGTCACACGCTCGGCTCGGGTCCCATTTAGCGATTCTGAAGCTCAAAACGCGTCCTGGATTTTGGCCGCATCCACCGCGGTCTTCTGGCCCACTGTGCGAGGGAGCCGGGAGGGCTGGGAGCCAGGTGGAGTTGCCTACCTGTGACGGCCACGCCACGCCCTTCGGGCCCTTTGGGCTCTTCAGGGGGCCGCGCGGCCCTCGGCGGGCCCCTTCCAGTGGCCCTGCCGGCCCTGCTGCCCCACAGCCCTGGCTGCCCTGCCGGCCCCACCACGACCGTGACCGCCGCAGCCCCGCTCGCCCCCCGCTGTGCCGGGCCGGGCCCCACGTGGGGCGTGACGCGTTTACACTCTAGTTTACGGCACCTGTGTCGCGGCCACACACTTGGAATGGCCCGCCTCCGGCCCGGCGCCTGCCAGCCTGGCAGCAGCAGACGGTTTCACTCGTAGGTGTTCGTCGCTCCGTGTCGCGCTCTCCACTCGGCAGGCCCGCCCCCACAGCGCCTCAGCACGGCACGCGCAGACATCGAGATGCGAGACCGCTGTCTCTCTCGCACCCAACGCGGCATGAGTGCGAGAGAGACAGAGCGACGAAAGCAAGGCGAAGCAAGGCCGCCGCCGCCATGGCCTGCCGCCCTCGGAGTCACGGTCGAGCGCGGCCCGGTGCAGCCCTACACTGTCATTCCTGCTGCACACACTGCTGCAGTCCAAACAGACTCAGCGCGCTGGAAATTGGTAGAGAGGGGGTCGGACGGACTGGGATTTGTTTAGCCCTGGCTGCAACGGCCTGGTTTGTTTGTTGCGCTGTCGGAGGATTTGAGCGCCTCGCGTTGGCTGCATGTGTGCGTGTGTGTGTGTGTGCCTATGTGTTAGAGAGAGAGGGAGAGAGAGAGGGAGAGAGAGAGATGGAGCGTGACCGCGACACGTCCGCTCGCCATGGTGTGTGTGTGTGTGTGTGTGTGTGTGGTGTTGTTGGCGCGCCCTGCATGGAATGGGCGCATTTGGGCTGCATTACAAAATCAATGAGGGTGGCGGCATTGTGCTGCGCATAACCTTTGGTTAGCGCCGCTGGCCTCCATTTTAAACGAGATTGAAATAACAGTTACACACACACACACACACACACACGACCCTGCGACCGCAAGGCCCGCTCCGCATCACACCAGCGCCACCGGCAGCGCGGGGTGTTGGCGGTGTAGGGACGCGACGCGCCCCGTCCAATAATACTATGTTAATCAACCAAAGCAGCTAGGCCGCGCCCTTGGCCGCGCCGCGCACTGCACTGTACGCAGTGTGGAAACGTATCGCTAGCTCGGGAAAAACCAACTCGCTCTCGCGAACTCGGGTTATTTATTTGTAGAAGAAGGAGCGAGGCTAGACTCGGACTGGAGGCAACAGGCTGGTGGATGGGAGGCCAATGAAGTGGTAAGGGGGGGAGGGAGGGGGGGGAGGGAGGGAGGGAGGGGGAGGGAGGGGAGGGAGGGGGGAGGGGAGGGAGGGGGGAGGGGAGGGGGAGTTGCCTAATGGTCCCGCACCGCAGACAAGGGCGTTCCAACTTGAACGAGTACCTGCACAGGTGCCTTGGGGGAGGCGGCCGAGGCGGCCAGAGGCGGCCACGGGCCACGGGAGGCGCAGGTGCGCAGACGGGTCGGGGTGTGGACCCTCTGGATAAGGGTCGAGAGGGAGGGCCGGCGAGGAGGGGGAGGCCGCTGCCTGGCCCGGAAGTTAAGTTTGATAATGACTCCCGAAGTGCTCTGGCCGCATCGTGCATACCGCACGGTCAGGTACAATCGGGGGTCGCAAAAAAATATCCCCCTATCATTTTCCACCCCAATCTCTCCCCCCCCCTCTCTCCCCTTCCGACCCCTGCCCCCCTTTCCCGTCCCGTTTATCGACGTGGATGGGATTAACGAGGGATCCTCTTGCAGCACCTTTCAATTATTTATCGTGCCCGACAAGCGGCCCGGCCTTTTGTTACCGCACCCACACACGCGCAGGCACCCACACCGACACACGCTGGCTCACACTTACACACTCGCGCCCTCACGCGCCTAAACTCAGTCACACACACACACACGCGCGTGCACACATACATACGTCCACAAAGGGCTGGTACCGCACGCGGCCCTGTGATTTGTTTCCATTGGACGGTGCTAACGAATGCCAAAGTCAATTACGCCCCTTTTCTCTCGGATCCGTTTCCGTTCCGGCCGCAGTGGGCGCCGCGGCGCCACGGCCTGAGGAGCGGACTTCGCCATGGGGGTCTTGGGGGAGGAGGGTGCATGCCAACGGAGGCGCATTGTGCCCGACGGTGCAGGACACCCCAGTCATGGTACCTAGGGGTACATCACGACGACAAGGTCTGATGTACCCGGGAGTGTACAATTTGCCGAGACACCAGGCCAACTTTACCCAAGGTACAATGCGCCTAGGCGAATTGTACACCCAGGTACACTCAGCGCAGACTCCGCGCCTCGCCCTGTCCTCCAGCAAGTAGTACGTCGCGAGCCCTGCAGCCCCGGGGGGCCGGCACGTCATGGCACGGCACGGCACGGCACGGCACGGCACGGCAGGCAGGTGGTAACGAGCTGTCCTCCACACCTCGCCCGGGATAACGACGTGTCTTAGCGACCCTATTATTTGTGCAATCGTGGGGACGGTGCCCCTGGCGGCGGTCCTCCTAGGGGCGGGGGAAAGGGGGGGGGGACAATGCCGCCGCTGCCGGCCTTGACGGGCGAAACTCGGGGCAAACCTGCAGGGACGCCGTGACGAGCCATTCAATCGCCAGTCCGACGATTCGCTGAAAAGAATGATAAAGTGTACCAGAAATGGAAACTAATTCCGCGGATGACTGGCCTCCCCTGAGACCGTCTTCTCTGCGCTCTTTGGAAACACCGCATCTCCATCTCGGGCCGCTATGCGCGCACCACTGCAGACTGATTGCGAGAGTCGTAGTCCCTGGTCTGTCTCTCTCGCACCCATACGGAACGCCGCGTGAGTGTGAGGGAGACAGAGTCAGTCCGCTGCGCATCCCTCTGGGAATGCTTGGCGAGCGCAAGCAGTTTGCCCAGTGTGCCGGCAGCTCACGCCGAACCGAGTATATCGCGTATCCACTGCGCTTCTTGCCGGCGGAAGAATTTCAAGGCCGTGGCAGTGCCAGACCTGGAGACTCAGGGCCGCTTTCCTCGCTCTGTCTCTCTCGCACTCACGGGGCGTTCTTATGGGTGCAAGAGAGACAGGGCGATGAAGATGACTCTCGGAATCAGTCTGCTGAGTAACATTCCGGGACCTGAGCGCGGCGCGGTGCGGCCCCGCCCCGCCTGGCCCTGCCCTAACCAACCACCGGGCGTTGGCAAGGCTGGCGAGGCGTGGCGGGGCGGGGCGGGGCGTGGCGAGGCGGGGCATGGCGTGGCGTGGCGTGGATAGCGCAACTTTTCGTCGGGTCCCGACACGGCCAAACTTCGGAGCCAAGACGCACCATCCGGGTAATTGGCCGGTTATTAAGGGGGCCGGGAGATTAAGGGGCGAACAACACGGGTAGCAGCGGGCCGGTGCCTGGCGCGAGGCTACAGCACGAGTTGTGCGTGGCGCGAGGCTACAGCACGACTAGTGCCTGGGGGAGGCTACAACACGAGTAATGCATGGTGCGAGGCTACGACACGGGTAGCCGGCCCGTGCCTGGCGGGAGGCTACAGAACGAGTAGTTCCTGGCGCGAGGCTACATCACGCATCAAACAACCTCTAGGACCACTGCAGTGCGAGCGAAGCCCCCTGAGTGAGGGATGCCCTTACGATGTGCGCCACGTTGAAGGCTTCTGGAATACAGGCCTCTGGAGTACAGGCATCTAGAGTACAGGCTTCTGGAGTACAGGCTGGAGTTCACGTCTCTGGAGTACAGACTTCTGGAGGCTGCTGGAGTCGGCCGGGCTGTTACGATACCTGTGCCAATGGCGTGGCGCTCCAATGGCCAATGCCCCCGAGGGGGCCTCTGCCCGCCCTCCCTCCGCCCTGCGCCCTGGCCGGCCGAGGCGCCGAGGCCGTGGAGGCCGACGCCTTGCACTTCCTAAACTCGCTACGTAGTCGGCAAGTCGGGCCGGGCTGGAGGGGCTGCTTACTGCTTGTCTGGGGTGTGGGTCCACACTGTGGGTCCACACTGTGGGTCCACACTGTGGGTCCACACTGCGGGTCCACCCTGTGGGGCGTCTGGGCGGTCTGTAGGCTGCTTCCGAAAGTCGCGGTTTCCGTCGCTCTGTCTCTCTCGCACTCATGGGCGCTCCGTTCAGGCGCGAAAGAGACAGAGCGATGAGAGCGGACTCTCAGAATCAGTCTGCTGGGCTCGATCCAAGGATCCAACCAAGGATCCCAGCGCCACTTGTTCGCCGGCACGGTGTGCCGGGGCGGGGGGCGGGGCAGGGCGGGGCAGGGCGGGGCAGGGCGGGGCAGGGCGGGGCGGGGCGGGGGGGCAGGGCGGGGCAGGGCGGGGCAGGGCGGGGCAGGGCGGGGCAGGACGGGGCAGGACGGGGCAGGACGGGGCAGGACGGGGCGTCCCACGGCGGCTTCCCGCAGAGCCCTGCAGGCGCGCCCCTCCCCGCTCCTTGTTTATCAAGCAAATCAGTTTAACGCGATCCAAAGTGCAAACTGGCGGCCTGGCGGGCCGGGCGGCAAGCCCGAGCTGGCGGCAAGGCGGGCAGCCGAGGCTGGCAGCCGCACTGGTGTGGAAAGGCGCTGCCTGAGCCCCTTGTTGGCTCGGAGCGCGATATGCCCTTTTCCGGTGTCGGTCTGGATCCGCGGATTCTGGGTCTCATCCCGGAACTCTGTCTATCTCTCTCTATCTCTCCGGCGTCTCAAGCAGCGGACGGTGCCGCTTTCATTTCGGTCGGAATTATTATTCCCGTCGCGAATATTCGAGAGTATTTTCTTTCCTAATTACATTGCAGTTTGTAACCGGTCTGTGCTTCGCTTTGCTTTGCAGGCCCTGGGGCTGGGCGTGGTGGGCGAGGACTACGCCTGGGTGCTGCAGGGCGCCCCGGAGGACACGTGGTGGGGCGAGGACGAGAGCTCCGACGCGGCCTGCGAGGCGGGCCGCCTCAAGGACGCCGTGGAGGGCCTCCTGCTCGTGTCCAGCTACGGCAGGAGTCCCGGGGACACGCCGTCGGACTCGGGGATGGTGAGTGCTGCCGAGCGATGCCGCTGCCCCCCCCCCCTCTCTCACACCCCTACGGCACACCCTACGAGTGCGAGAGAGAGAGCGAGCGGAATCGCACGACTGCGCGTGGTGCAGGAGCACGCCGTCATGCTGTCGACCGCCACAACCACACTTGAACCGAGGGCAACACAACCTACACAATAAAAACAACGAACAAAATGACCCAAATAATGAGACTTAAACCCAGATTTCTACATTACACGGTACCCACGGCGGCCGTGGCTACTTCCCCGAAGGGTCCGCTCGCACCCCGAACCGATTCCGAGCGCATTCCGACATGGGGCGGGAATGGTTGAAATGAGGAGCGGTCGAGCACGGCGCGCGGACAGCAGCGCTAGCAGTGGGCCGCCACCACCACTGCCATCACCACGGCGACGACCACCATGCCGCCACCACCATCATGCCGCAGCCGGCAGCCATTACCACCACTGCCATCACCACGACGAAGATCACGACCACGACCACCACCACCACTTCGACCATGCCCCGCTAACACCACCACCACCATCACGCCGCGCCCCTTGGAGATTGAGACGTATTATGCGTCTAAAGTTGGCCGAACGTCCCGGCTTCCCAGAAACGCAGGCAGGACCGATCTGTATCTGCGCGTATTGAAAAGAGACAGCGACAAGTCCTCTGTTCTGCGGAAGTCGAGAGGCCTAGGCCGAGAGGGCCGGGGGCGGGGAGGGGCGGGGGAGGGGCGGGGGAGGGGCGAGGGGCGGGGGGGCGGGGGAGGGGGGCGGGAGGGGGCAGTGCGAAGGGGTGGAGGCATTCGGATCGGCCAGATAAAGGCGAGGAATCAAGCAGTGTCAGGGAGATGGCAAAGTTTGGCGGGGCATGGCGTCGATTCACCGCGTTGCCGCGTTGCCTAAACTTGGTAATAGGGTAATTTATTTGGTCTGATCCACACCGCCGCACCGCCCTCGCGCTCCGCCCGCCCGGCTCGCCCCACGCACCAGCCACCCCCTCCCCCATCCGCGCCAAGGGCCCCGTTGTCTTCTGTCGATTTCTCATCAAGGCGAGGGAGAGGAACAGTGCAAAGAAACGTGTAGAGCGAGAGCAGCTGTTATTTTCGCCTCAAATGTTTTGCACTTTACACGCGAAAACTTCTTCCTCCTATTTTTTTCTCTGCGGTTTTATTTTGCAGCGCTTGTCTTTTTTTGACCATCTCGTGCTTGTCCGCAGACGTACGACGAGTTCGTCTCGGCCGTGTCCATGGAGGCCCAGCCCGTGTCCGACCTGGCGGGGCAGACGTTCGACGCGGTGTGGGCGCTGGGCCTGGCTCTGCGCAACGCCCAGCGGGTCTGGGCCTCCGCGCCGGGCGGGCCGGGCGGGCCTGCACCGCGCCTGCACCACTTCAACTACACCCGCAGGGACATGGCCATGGAGTTCCTGCGCCAGACCGCCCTGCTCAACTTCACCGGCGTCTCGGTCAGTGCGAATGCGCGGTGCGGGGCCGGCGAACAGAAAGAATGTGCAAGCTGCGTCGCACAGTGGGCCAGAAGACCGGCGCAGGCGGCCAGAACTCTGGTCGCGTTCTTAGCTGCAGAGTCGCTTAGCCGGACTCAAACCGAACGAGTGACCCCACCAATGGATTCCTCGTTCGGAGAGCATTCCATAGGTGGGGTCACAGGTTCGGTTCGAGTCCTGTTTAGCGACTCTGGAGCTCAAAACGCGTCCAGTTTTGGCCGCCTGCGCCGATCTTCTGGGCCTCTGTGCGTCGCGGCCCTGTCTCCCGCGCATCCTCTATGGCAAATCTTTGCCAACTTCTAAGACAATGGAAGGCTCCTGGAGTGCGAGAGAGACAGAGCGACGATCGTGTTGTTCGGAATCGTCCCTGCCGGTCGCCGTGTTCTCGTGCTCCGCCGAAACATCTCATAAAAATGTATTTCTCCAGGGGCCGGTGTCCTTCCGGCACGCCGACCGCATCGGGATCTCGCTCATCTCCCAGGTCCAGAGTAAGTCCGCGCGGCGAATCGCCGGGCGCCGGGAGTCGAACCCACGAACCCGCAGCCCGGAGGCGGAGTCGCTAACCACTGCGCTAGCGTGCTAACGAGTCGTGTTGCAGACGGCGTGGCGCAGCCGGTGGCGCTGTTCCACCCGTCGTGGGGCGCGCTGCAGTGGCTGGGCGGCGCGCCGCGCGTGCGCTGGGCCGGCGGGCACACCCCGGTGTCGCGGCGCGTGTGCGTGCTGCGCGTGGTGACGGTGCGCGCCGACGCCTTCATGGCCATCACCAGCCTGGCCGCCCTCGGCATGCTGGTCGCCGTGCTGTGCCTCGCCTTCAACCTGCACTACCGCCGCCTCAAGTGAGTACACTGCACACGACCTCCAAATCAAAAACAACAACAAAGAGAGGGAAAACGGCGAGGGGAAAACAACTTGGAATTACGCGTTTCCTTGAAATAACGTCAAATAACTTAAATTTAAAACGGTGTACTAAATTTTTCAAAGTTGTTCGCCCCTCGGAAAACGGTTTGAAAACTTTTCGCGCTTTGACAGTGCACGCGCCCCTGGCGAGATAGGGTCAGGGCGGAGTCCGGCGGCGAGGGAAAGGGACGGGAGGGACGGCGGAGTAAAGATCGGAAAAGAGGGGGAAAGATGCGGAACACACTTGTTCTCGGCCACATTGTGCGCGGTATCTGGCCCCCGCCGCGCCGCACCGCACAAGCCCTGTCCCTTTTCAGTTAGGCCCCCGGAGACCTACCCTGCCCCCAGGGCGTGCCCGGCCCAGCCTGCCCGGCCCTGGCTGGACCCGCCCTGGACCGCCGCCCTATCGCAGCCACGCATTTGATAAAACAGCGGCGGGGACCGGACCGGAACAAAGATATTTTTTGTTTGCAATTTTTTCGTTGTTTTTTTTTACACATTTCTTTTTGAGAATGAGTTTTTTTTTTTACCCGGTAAGGTTTAAATTTGTGAAGCTGAAGTTTCCTTTCCAGTTGGTGAATTTTGTACACAAAGTATGGTCAGATTATTCTTTTTAAAATTCTTTTTTTTTTTCGAGGGTTGTCTATGCTGGGGTGAAGGCCTTGACTGGGAGAGCGCCGCCCCGGTCGTTTTCGAACCTCGAACCACGAAATCGATACTCGATATAAAAATGAAGGAATGCGGCGCGAGACTGGAGTACCGCGTCGAGGCCATCAAGGAGCAGCGGGGCGGAGCAGGTGCGCCCAATCGCCACTCGGCGATCAACATGAGTTCCCTCGGCGGGGCGGGGTGGGGCGGGGTGGTGAAGGGCAGGGACGGCCTGGCGTGACGGCGGCGGCAACTTTCGCCATCGAGTTAGCAGGGCGAATCCTAGACCTGAATGGCAAGAGCCGAGAAAAAGGCGAGCGCCAGACAAGTGGCCTTCCACCGCGCCCTGCCCACCAGGACCTTGCCCGCCACGCTTTGCGCACCACGCCGAGCACTACCTACCCCGAGCGCTGCAGCCCCGCCAGATGACTTTTACACCCAAAGTTTGGCGCCTGCTCAGCTGCTACCCGACGACGGCGAGGTCTGACGGCTAGGCAAGCACGTCGCCCGCGCGGCATGCTTGTGGAAGTGGTTGCCTACCCGCCGCACCGCAGGGGCCTCGTTCCAGGGCAGTCCGAGGGAAGTCCGAGGGAAGTGCGAGGGAATTCCAAGGGCGTCCAGGGCGTGCCGTGCTGGCCGGAAGGGGCCGGAAGTAGTGCAGGGGTAGTTGGAGCAGGAAGGGCGGCAGGGCCGGGTGTCGACCGTGTTGACGCTGGACCGGCTGTGACCTCCCTTCCCTTCAGCCGGAATCCAGAAGCCAGCCGTGATTGGGGTCGTCGAATATTCTATGGCTGCGGTCACCTTCCCCGAACCCACCCCTTTCACCCTCCCCCGCCTCCCCCACCCCTCTCCCCACTCCCCATCCAGCGGGGGGAAAAAGTAGCCGGCGGCGGCGCCCCTTCAGGTGGACTCCCCCCCCCCCCCAGGGACCCTTTCCTCTCCCTTTGGTGCTCCTGGGCGCCAAGCGCGCCAAGCCGTGCAGAGCCACTCGCCGCGTCGACAAGCCGGGGGCCGGGGCCGTCGGGGCGTTGGGGGCTCGGCTTGTCACTAGCAGCAGCGATGCCGAGCGGAAGGCGCCCCCCTCTCTCCCTCCCGCTTGAGGGAGGTCCCGTATGGGTGCGAGAGAGACAGGCCGGCGGGACCGGCCGCTCGGAATCAGCCTGCAGTGTGGCGGTGCTGGCGCTGCCGGCGATGCCCGGGGCTATTTGGGGAAGCGGGCCGCGGGCGGCGGTGTTGCGGTCAGAACAAGCGGCTCCCCGCCCCCTACCTGTGGGTCGTCTTGCCGACCGCCAGGCCGCCAGCGGCTGCGACACGTCAGTGACATGCCAGTGACACGTCAGTGACACGTCAGTGACCATCAGGGACATGCCAGTGAAACGCCAGTGACACGTCAGTGACACGTCAGTGACACGTCAGTGACATGCCAGTGACACGCCAGTGACACGTCAGTTATATTTCAGTGACACGTCAGTGACATGCAAGTGACACGTCAGTTACTCGGTTACACTCAAGTGACATGTCACCGCACAGTGTGTTTGCCCACAAAACCCACCGCCGCCGCCGCCGCGAGTGTGTGTTTGAGTTTGCGCGTACGGGAGACTTTTCCCGCTACCCGCGAGCCGCGACTTGGACTTAGCGAACAGCGCGCAGGTTCGCGGCAGTCAGCACGCCGCGGGGCGGCCGCGACCGCAACCCTCACGGCCCGCCGGCGGTTTGGCGAACTTGGCGCGCTGAGCAGACGCAGGACGGAGGACTGGGAGGACCAGAGGAGCGAATGATTCAATTTGAAGTCGCAGTTCGTTTCGATAAGAAAAATTCAAGCATTCAAATCAAGAGTTCAAACGTCAGTTTTCGGTCATGAAATGTGAGCATTAGAGTCAAAAGGTATAAATCACTGCTTTATCCGACACACTGTTGGGTGACAGTGTAGCAGTCTCCTTCGAATGCAAATACTCCGCGTTTGCCGCGTTTGCCCCGTTTGCCCGTTGATCCGGGTCAGGGCAGCACCTTGTCGCGTCGTAGCCGTGTCAAGTTGCGTGTAATGAAAGGACGAGCCGCAATTGGGATGGCTGGGAAAGAAGGGGAGGGGGAAGCAGGGGGAAGCAGAAAGGGGGGTGGGGGTGCAAGCGGGCTGACGAATGCGTGACGTTCCGAGTCCTCAGGACCCTCGCCTCGCTCCGCCTGCTCCGCCAAGCAGTGAGCCCCTTTCCGATCCCCAATCGAAACACTCCGGTGCCCCTGGATGCCGGGCCACGTTACTTCACGCAGCGCCGCGCCCCGCCCCGCCCCGCCCGCCCCGCCCCGCCCGCCCGCCCCGCCCCGCCCCGCCCCGCCCCGCCCCGCCCCGCCCGCCCCGCCCGCCCCGCCACGCCCCGCCACGCGCCGCCATCTGTCAAGATGTGCTCGAGCCACGCGTATCGGGATGTACTGGATGAGGGGCTGGATGGAGTCGGGGAGGGCGAGCTCTCTTCCACTGGAGAGCCGCTGCAGGGTCCGGATATCTCGGCCGTCCCGTCGCAACGCACCCTGCCGCGCCCTGCCGTGCCCTTCACTGGAGACACCATTTCCTCCAAAACTCTGGGACTTCGGCCAGAGTCACTGGCTAGCGCTGCAGACTGATTCCGAGTGGGAGGTCTCTCTCTCTCTCTCTCCGGCATGCACTGAAAAAAGTCTAGTTACATCAAGTAGGGTTTTGGCGCCAATTTCCTGACATTCTAATTGAATAGGAACCAACCAGGTACCAGACTGCCTGTAGTAGAGCTGAGTCTAGTAACACTAACCAGATTCCTTATGACTACAACTCCTCTGACTTGTGAGAGGAGCAAACCACAAATTGGCAACTTTCCCTCTCTCAATCCTGATGGAGTTACGTGGAATGTGGACGAGGTTCCACCTCAACGCCTTTTCAAGGGCGGGTGCTGTCGTCTCCTCCCGACCCCTTGCAAGGCCTTGGCGAGCTCCTCAAGGTGGCTGACTGCACCCCCGAGAGCGTCTACATCCATTTTCCCGGCAGCCTCCCATTATGTCCCTGGCCCTTAATGCGCGCGCTTCGTGAACGCCCCTTGTCGCCCCACCCCGCCCCACCCCGCCCCGCCCCGCCCCACCCAAACACTCGCTGGGGCCACACCAGACCAGACGCGGACGGGTGGGAGGTATTAGACCGAAGTAGACGGACCGACAACTGTCCTTGACTTCGCCCCCGCCGTCGTCGCCGCCGTCGTCTCGTCTTCTTCGAATCATTGGATTTTACGATCCGAGTTGTGAGGAAAATGATGGCTTCCCAGCTCGTGCGGAGGAGGGCAAAGGGGAGGGGGTAGTTTCGGAGGAAGGCGGCGGGGTGATGTTGACAGCCGATAAGCCTGCTTCGCATTCACACGTCCGACGAGCGCTTGTCCTGCGTGTGTGTGTTGGAGTGGGGGTGCCTGGCGACATCCATCCTTGACACACTAAACCCCGCCGCAATGCCATGCACCCCATATATTTTTCTATGTGTGAGGCGGGCCGTGGCATGATTGGGCTGCGTCCGTGGGCAACCCTCGACGACACCAAATTGGAGCTCGAGCCAAGCACTCGTAAAGGCACTGTATCCGCACGGCCAGATGACGTCGTTCTTGTCCGGCTGGACGTCTTGCTTGTGGGCACAACTTGACCCCCAAAGCCCCACGCTTAAGTCTGTACCGCGGTCCAAAACCCAAGACGCGTTTGGATCTCCAGAGTCGCTTAACAGAACTAACCGAACGTTTGACCCCACCACTGGATTCCTCCTTAGGAGAGCAATCCACTGGTGGTGTCACACGTTCCGTTCGAGCCCCATTTAGCGACTCTGGAGCCCAAAACGCGTCCGGGATTTTGACGGCGTGTGCGTTGGCGGGGTGCTTTGAGTGGCCCCAGCCAGCCAGCCGGGTGGATGCCGGCCGCGGCAAAGCGAGGCAAAGCGAGGCAAAGCGAGGCAAAGCGTCTGCAAGGCATGCAAAGGGAGACGGCGGGGCGCTGCTGCACCTCGAAGGTGAGGCGAGGCCGGGCGAGGCCGCCCCTCCCATCTCCCCCACATGCCTTTGTCACCCGACGCGTTCCCAAGAGCCTCAGGCCTCAGGCAGCGCTTAGGCACCGCCTCGGCACCGCCTCAGCCAGGCAGCGCAGCCGGGGCAGGCAAGCCAGGCCGAGGTCGCTCGCTCTCAAGTTGTCGCGAGGCTGCACGACGCCCTGTAAAATACGGTGGGAGCGACGGTCCCTCGCCCCGGGTGGGAGTCGAACGCGCGATCACGTTTCCCACGCGGATGCGGAGGATGCTTCCGAGAGTCGTTTTCGTCGCTCTATCTCTCCCGCACTCACAGGGCGACCGTGCGAGAGGGACAGAGCGACTCTGGGACTTGCTGGTCTGCTGCAGGTACATCAAGCTGTCGTCGCCGCGCCTCAACAACATGGCGGCCGTGGGGTGCGTGCTGGTGTACGCCGCCGTGATCCTGCTGGGCGTGGACCACGCCACGCTGCCCGCCGGCGCCAGCGCGCCCTTCGCCGCCGTGTGCACGGTGAGGACCTTCAGAGTCTCTCTCGACGCCCATCGGTCCAAGAGCGACAGAGCGACGAAAGCGACTCTCTTGTCGGCCGTGGACGCCGTGCCCGGCCGTGCCCGGCCGTGCCCCGACGCTGACGCTCTGCTTGGCCTTGTTGCAGGCGCGCGTGTACCTCCTGTCGGCGGGCTTCAGCCTGGCTTTCGGCTCCATGTTCACCAAGACGTACCGCGTGCACCGCATCTTCACCATGAGCCACGGCTGCACCATCGGCACCAAAAAGAAGGCGAGTGCACTTCCGTCGAGGGGTCCCCTGTCATGTCCAATGACTGTGGCGAGGACTGTGGGAATGTGCAAGATTCCTGGTGTTTTACGCACAAGTTGCCTATTCACAGGCTTTTTTTTTGCCGTTCCTTGTAATGCCACCTGAGTGTATGATGCGTTCAAATGTTGTACAAATGAACGTGGGAAGTTGTTCCCCTCGGGTTCCTTCCGCTCCGTCCGCGGGCAGGCTGGCTCCTCTCCATGCCGGCAGCCTCCCTCCCTGCCCACCCCACCCTCCGTCTCCGCGCCGCGCTGCGCCGCGCTGCGCGCCCCGGGCTGGAGGACGACAGACATTCCCCGTCCGTCCGTCCCCTTCAAAACCCCCGCCGACGACAACTTCCTCGTTTTCCTGTGTTCCGCCTTCTTTTTCCCCTTTTTCTCGTTCTCCTTGTTCCTCTTGTTGTGCAATTAAGCGGGGTCAGTGCCGAACGACGCGGCGGCGACGTCGCGCAAACCGTTTCTTGAATTAAGGGTCGCTAATTATTTTCGCGGGACACAATTATACGATTGTCGGCGCGAAACCGTTTCGGCTGTTCTGCAGAGCAAACCTCTCTCTGTCTCTCTCTAACGGTGGCCCGGGCTTTCCAGTGATGTAGGCTGAAACTGCAGGCGGGTTCCGAGTGGGAGGTCTCTCTCTCGCACTCGTGGGGTGTCCCGTAAGAGTGCGAGAGAGACAGTCCGACGAGAGCACTGTGCGTGGCCAGTTGGCCAGAAAGCCGATACCCCTCCGGTCACAAACGCCACTATTTTCCTTGTTTGCGCGTAATTATAGTTGTCCACGCCACAGGGCTGAAGGTTGATGCCGGTCTGTATTTCTCGCACCCCCGATCAGCCGCCGCATGAGCGTGTGTGTGTGAGAGAGAGAGAGATCTCCCGCTCGGAACCGGTCTGCTGGCGGTAATGTGACGAAGTGTATTGCAGCGGCCGGTGCAATCAGTGCAGCCAGCCTGTCCCACCCTGGCCGTCCTGGCCGCCCTGCCAGTGTGTGCGTGATTACGGCTGCTGGGGATTTGCATTGACCAAGTAGGAGTGCCCCGTCTCTCTCTCTCTCTCTCTCTCTCTCTCTCTCTCTCTCTCTCTCTCTCTCTCTCTCTCTCTCTCTCCTCTCTCTCTCTCTCTCCCTCTCTCGCCGAGGAGGGCAGCGCGCCAGCACTTTGGGGTGGAGAGGCAGGTGGAAATTGAAGCGCCCCGTCCCGAGTGTACTGTACACGGCCGCCGTCGAGGGATCCCTGCTGCAGACTGATTCCGAGAGTCGTCTTCGTCGCTCTGTCTCTCTCGCACCCACGAGAACGCCGCGTGAGTGCGAGAGAGACAGAGCGACGGAGACGACTCTGCCGCTGGGCGTGCATCGCCGTGAAGACGGGTACCTTGTCGGCGCCTCGGTGGAGTGCCTTGGGGAGTGGGTCTGGCGCGCCGCCAGGGCCGCCGTGGCCGCCGGGCCGCACTCGGTCATGATGACGCCGGGATGGCTTGCGTCCGTCAGCAGCCTTCAGGACTTCAGGCGCACGCAGCACAGACGCGGTGAAGGTCGTGAGGGGGCCAGAAGCCGGTGGAGGTGCTCAAAATCCCGGAAAGGTTTTGAGCTAAATTCAGTGTCGCTAAGTGGGACTCGGACCGAACGTGTGACTCGATGGATTCCTCTCCGAACGAGGAATCCATTGGTGGGGTCACACGTTCGGTTCGAGCTTAGCGATTCTGGAGCTCAGACGCGTCTAGGGTTTTGGTCGCCTGCGCCGTCCTTCTGGCCCACTGTGCGCCTCCTCAAGGTGGCCTCTGCAGGCTGAGCACTGCTTTCGACGCTGTCCCTCTCGCTCCCTGACAGGACGCCCCTGCGAGGGAGACAGAGCGACATGCTCGGAACCAGCCTGCTGGGCCGGTCTCCCAGGTGGCCCCCGGGGTACTCCCCTTGATCCGAATATCTGTGATGCCGGAAGCGGACGACCCCCGGTCCAGCCGGGCCCTGGTCCAGCCGGGCGACCCAGTCTGGACTCCAGAGTCTGGCTCCAGCCCGGCGCCCTGATTGGCTATTAGCAGGTGGCTGCCTCGCCACCTCGCCCTTGGCGGCCCTTTGCGTGCCCTTTGGGGCCCTCGGCAGCCCTCCCCCCCCCCCCATGTCTGCGCGTCGAGTGGCGGACGCCGGGGCGACGCCGGGGCGACGCAGGGACTCCGGGCGGGGGTCTCGGCCCGGGGCACGCCCTGATCCACGCCTACACCCTACAGGGAGATAACGAACAATCCAAACGGGCCCAATCCCAATCCCCGGGCCCCACCAGCCCCACCGCCTCCATCGTGACAATAACGAAGACCCCGCTGTCACCGCCCCTCCCCTCCCCCTCCCATCCCTGTCGCCCCCATTGAGCGTCAGTCACAGCGCGCCCTCTGTCTGCGTGACCTTATTAGCAGCAAAGCGTCAAATCAAAACGTTGCCCGCCCAGCCAGCGCAACCAGCGCAGCCAGCGCGCCCGAGCCGCCCCAACTTAAATGACTGATTTATCACGCGCTGGATATCGAAGCGAAGCGCGCAGCGGAGGGGAAGGGGAGGGGAAAGGCTTTTTGATTTATTTAGGTTCGGGTGAATCCCGTCACGGCGAGGCTGCCACTGCGGACTGATTCCGAGAGTCGCTTTCGTCGCTGTCTCTCTCGCGCTAGGGGTCGTCCCGTTTCAGTGCGAGAGAGAAGGGAGACCACTCTCAGTGTGCCGGCCGGGGTGATGACCCGCCGACTCTGCAGCCGCTGCAGTGAGCAGGGCGCTGCATTTTGCGCAGTCAGACCGGCGCGCCAAGTTTTGGATCGAGATTCGAGTTGGGATTGAGATTGAAATCCGCGGGCGAGGGCGAGCCAGTGCCGCCGGGGCGGAGCGGATTTGGGCGGAAATCAATGTAAATTAATGACGAGGTGACTTTGAGGCAGATGGGTTGCTCGGCGAACATCGCTGCGGTCTGCCGGGTAACGCTGCCCCCCCCCCTGACCACGTCTCCGCCCCGCTCTGTTGATCAAGGCGGCGCAGGATTCAGCAGGCTGACTCCGAGAGTCGTTGTCGTCGCTCTGTCTCCCTCGCACCCATACGGGATGCCCCCTGAGTGCGAGAGAGACAGAGCGACGAAAACGACTCTCGGGATCAGGCGGCAGGGCGCTCTCTCTTGCACTCCCTGAGGTGTGCGAGAGGGACAGCGAGGGATACAGTTCCCCGTCGGTCCGGACAGTGCTTTCGTTGCTCCGTCGCCCTGGCGGAGCCCTCGCCCCCCGACACGGCAGTGTGCGTTGCGGCGAGGCCAGATATTATTGGCTGGGGAAGATCCACCTGTCAATTAGACCGCCCATTAGAGACACCGGCCGCTTGATCCCGAAGGGCGCTTCGCCGCTCTGTCTCTCTCGCACCCTCGGGGAACGCCCTGTGAGTGCGAGAGAGACAGAGCGACGACAGCACTGTGCGGAAGGAGCCAATCGCCGCCAGCACGTCAAGGGGACGTCCGAGACGACGGCCGGCCGGGGGGCGGCCAGCACACTGAGAGTCGTCGCTCTGTCTCTCTCGCACGCATGGGGCGTCCCGTAGGAGCGAGAGAGACAGAGCGACGACTCTCGGAATCGGCGGGCCGAGAAGGGTGCTGCTGTCTGGCCGCGCTTCGACCTTGCCCGCCTCGCACGAGGAGCGGGGCGAGCGGGGCGAGCAGGGCATGGCGTAGAGCAGAGCGGGTCTACGGGAGCACCTCCAGGACTCCAGGCTGCGCGAGAAACATGCCACCCGAATCCCCCTCTTGATTATGCAGATGCCAAGGAAGGGAGGTTTGATTAGTGAATGTTTGATGCTGGCCCCGCAAAACCCGGCCCGTCTACCTACGTCGGCCCGCGACCCAAATATGCATGGAAGTGCGCGCGTGTGCGTGCGCCCGTCTGTGTAAATGTACAGCGTAGGCGCGCATCCGCCCACGAGTGGAGACTGATACGGGAGCCACGAAATGAGACTGAGTTACCCGCCTGACAGGATGTGGCTTTTATCTCCCCCGCCCCCTACACCCGCACGCGCACACACACGCACACACCCGCACGTGCTCACACACACGGAGAAATAAGCACTGCCGGTGTGCGCAGTTTTGCCTTCCTTTTGCGTGGGACTCTGCCGGGAGCGAGCGCGCCGCGCGGGCGTGTGCGGCCGCGAGGTGTGTGCGTCACTACCGCCACCGCCAGCGCCGCCAGCGCCGCCACGCCCGCGGCCAAAACTGCGCTGGGAACGGCGACGTGCCGGCCGTGCCCCTGCAGGCTGCAGCGGACTGATTCCGCGGCACTCGTTGCTCTGTCTCTCTCGCACCCTAATGGGACGCCCCACGAGTGCGAGGGAGACGGAATGGGTGTGCAGGGCGGGCGGGAGTGGCGGGAGGAGCGACACGCCGACGAGCACAATGCACCACCCGGCGGCCCGGCCGGCACGGCGCGCCGTACCGCGGTACATGCAGTGCGGGGCGCTGCCGGGCTCTGCGGTCGCTGTCCTTGTCGCTGGCCTTGTTGTCCTGCAGACTGATTCCGAGAGTCGTTGTCGACGCTCTGTCCCTCTCGCACCGAAAGGGGCGCCCCTTGAGTGCGAGAGAGACAGAGCGACGGAAACGACTCTCGGAATCAGTCTGCTTGACTTGCTCGTCGTGGTTGCAGCTGCTGCAGGACACGCAGCTCATGTCGCTGGTGGGCGCGCTGCTGCTGCTGGACGTGATGCTGGTGACGCTGTGGGCCGTGGTGGACCCCATGAGCCGCCACCTGCACAACCTCACCATGGAGATCTCGCCGTCCGACCGCGGCGTCGTGTACCAGACGCAGGTGAGTCCGGGCTCGCCCACGCCAGAGTCGTTTTCGTCGCTCTGTCTCTCTCGCACTCATAGGGCGTCCCCTATAGGTGCGAGAGAGTCAGAGCGACGAGAGCGACTGTCGGAATCGGCCTGCTAGCGCTCTCTCCCTGGCAGAACCCCTGCCTGGGTAGGCAGCGCAACAGGTGGGGCGGGCACGCCTGGCCGCCGGGTTGCCTACCCCCGAATCCGCGGGCGCCGTGTGACCCACAGTGGGCCCGCCGTCAAAATCCCGGACGCGTTTTGAGCTCCAGAGTCACTAAATGGGACTCGAACCGAACGTGTGACCCCACCAATGGACTCCTCGTTCAGAGAGCAATCCATTGGTGGGGTCACACGTTCGGTTCTAGTCCCATTTAGCGACCCTGGAGCTTTAAACCCGTCCGGGATTTTGACGGCCTCCACCGGTCTTCTGGCCCACCGTGCGCCTGCCCTGCGCCGCCGCCGCCGCTGCAGCCTGCAGCCCCCGCCTCCTGTTGCAGGTGGAGGTCTGCAAGTCGCAGCACACGGAGACGTGGCTGGGCGCGCTCTACGTGTACAAGGGCCTGCTGCTGGTGGTGGGGCTGTACATGGCGTGGGAGACGCGGCGCGTCAAGATCCCCGCCCTCAACGACTCGCACTACATCGGGCTGTCGGTGTACTTCGTGGTGGTCTGCTCGGGGCTGTCCGTCGTGCTCGCCTCGCTGCTGTGGCAGCGCGTCACGCTGGCCTACGTCTGCAGGTGGGGGCGTGGAGCACGGACCTTCAATGACGTCATGCTGGCTGCGTCAGGATCGACTTGATATGTCTCTTTTCCTGCCGTCGGCGGTTAAAAGACTAGTTTACGATTCGGATGTAGCCAGCGTAGTGTCCTTTCTGCGGCGCCCTCTTACTTATTTCGTTTGAGACTTTTTTGCGTTTGCCCTTGGCGGCCTTGCTGCAGCACGGCGCTCATCCTGGCGTCCACCACGGCCACGCTGTGCCTCCTGTTCCTGCCCAAGCTGCACGCGCTGCAGACGGGCGCCGCGGACCCCGTCGGCCAGTCCATGGGACTGCGGCTCATGTGCAACACGCGGAGGTAAGACAGGGCCGTGTGGCCGCGTGAGTGCGAGAGAGATAGACAGCAAAGACAGCGACTGGCGGCGGAGAGCTCCATGAGTGCGACAGAGACAGAGCGACGAAACGACTCTTCTGGATCGCTCGGCTGGGCGTCGCGCCTTCCGTAACTCTGAAATACTGCTCGCAGGTTCGCGGTGGACGAGTTCGAGGAGCAGCGCTACCGCGCCCAGGTGCAGAACAAGGTGTACCGCCGCGAGCTGGCCGCGCTCACGGCCGAGGCGGCGCGCCTGGAGCTGCAGCTGGAGGGCCCTTCCGTGGCCGTGTCGTCGGCGTCCGTGTCCGCGGTGAGGGCCGCGCCGCCCGACTGTGGATTTTGCCAAAAGACCAGTGGAGGAGGTCAAAATCCCGGACGCGTTTCGAGCTGCAGAGTCGCTAGATGGGACTCGAACCGAACGTGTGACCCCACCAATGGATTGCTCTTCGAACGAGGAATCCATTGGTGGGGTCACACGTTCGGTTCGAGTCCTGTTTAGCGACGCTGAACCTCAAAACAGGGCCGGGATTTTGGCCGCATCCACCGGTCTTCTGACCCATCGGCGACCGCTCCGAGTCCTCGCTGACCCCCTGCTTGTCCTTCCCCAGGGTGACGACAGCGAGCCGGTGACGGCGCTGCGCGAGGCGGTGCGCGAGGAGCTGTACGCCGTGCACATGCACGCCTCGCACCCGCTCGCCCCGCTGCTGCTGCTGGCCGTGCTGCCGCCCGTCACGCCGCGCGCCTCCTGGCCCTCGGCCGCCCCCGAGCGCCCGCGCGCCGCCTCCACGCAGCAGGTAGTACACTCTTAACATTACACTGACATTTCAGCTGGTTTTTTGTGGCCGTGGCACAGTGGGCCAGAAGACTGGTGCAGGCGGCCAAAATCCCGCACTTGTCGTGAGCCCCAGAGTCGCTAAATTGGACTCGAACCGAACGTGTGACTCCACCAATGGATTGCTCTCTGAACGAGGAATTCAGTGGTGGGGTCACACGTCCTCTTTAGCGTCTCTGGAGATCAAAATCGCATCTAGAATTTAGGCCACCTGCGCCGGCCTGCTGGCCCACTGCGCGAGGGGCTGTGAGAGCAAACCAAACGGAAACTGTTTGCTTGCAGGCGTTCCAGAGCGAGCCGCAGCTGGAGCCCTCCTCGTCCACGGACCACCACTTCATGCGCAGGGAGACCTTCGCCGGCACCGCCACGCCCGCGCAGGGGAAGCCCGGCGTGCTGGGCCGCTTCCTCAACCTGTTCAGCGGCAAGCACGCGGTGGGTTGCCCCAGGGTGGCCCCGGGGTGGGGCGGGGCCGGGAACCGGAAACCGGGGGAAACGCGGGAGGAGCCAGGCGCCAGCTGCTGCGGACTGATTCCGAAGAAGGCTACAGCTCTGTCTCTCTCCCTAGCGTCCACACGGGACGCCCCGTGAGTGCGAAAGAGATAGAGCGATGAAATCACTGCTCTCGGAGTGGCGCTGCAGGGAAGCGTCATGAGTCCTCGACGACGGCCTGCACAGCCCTGCAGTCTGATAGCGAAGGGCAGGTCTCGTCGGTCGTTCTCTCTCACACGTACACGGAACGCCCCATAAGAGCGAGAGAGAGACCTCCCCCTCGGAATCAGCCTGCCCCTGTTGAGCTCCTTGGATGCTCGGGCCCGGCCGGCAACTTGAATCGCTGCGTCCTGCGAGAGTTGGCCAACTCGTCCAACAACGGCAGCCCGTGCAGATGGGGGCTCTGCGTCGCTCTGCGTCCCTCTGCGTGCGGGACGACCAGAATGGCCCTCTATCCCACAGGTTGCTGGCGGGACGCGGCCAGTGATTCCACCCTTCCCTTCTCTCTCTCTCTCTCTCTCTCTCTCTCTCTCTCTCTCTCTCTCTCTCGCTTAGTTGCTGACGGAACATGTTTCCAGAAGAGAGAGCCTCGCTATTAGTGTTCGGACAGCCGCATGAAATATCGCAGCACGACATAATTTCTCGGTTCACGATTCGCGACCCAGCCGGCCATCGGCCAGCGGAACGCACTCCGAGAGTCGTTTTCGTCGCTCCGTCTCTCTCGCACCCATAGGGGACGCCCCATGAGTGCGAGAGAGACAGAGCGACGAGAACGACTCTCAGTCTGCTGCGGCTGCCATGCCTGCCATGCCTGCCATGCCGCAGCGGCACCCAGGAGGCAGTTTCTTTGCCGCCCTTTGTGCGCCCTTCGGCCTTCGGCCCGGCCGGCCATTCCACTGGCTGATCCCGAGCGGGGGATCCCGTCGCTCCGTCTCTCTCGCACCCCGACGGGGCGCCCTATGAGGAGAGAGAGAGAGCGAGCTGACGCCCCCGACAGCCGAGCAACGGCCGGAACGCGGAACGCGGCCACTGAGGCGGGGCCTGACGCCGCGTGACAGCGCGCTCGCCGTCTCGAGACTCTGCAGGCGTCGCTCCGTCTCCCTCGCACTCATGTGTCGTCCCGCGTGGGTGCGAGAGAGACGGAGCGACAACGCGACTCGCGGAATGAGCAGCAATGCGGCCTGTCTCTGTGTTGCAGGGCCTGGACAACCACGCCAGCTCCACGGGCTCCATCGCGGGCATCACGGCGGCGCTGCGGGCGCACATGGGCTACATCGCGGGGCTGGTGCCGTCCGCTGCGGGCAACGGACGCAGGTGCTGCTGCATGCCGCCACACTGCCGCCACGCTGCCGCGGGGCGCGTGGGCGCAGGACCCTTCGCACGGCCAGGGCCCCGCAAGGGGCTCCACGCCCGCGAGGCTCCCATTGGCGCTGCAGCCGTAGCGGCAATGTGGCTTCACTCCCCCCCCCTCTCTCTCTCTCTGCGATGTGTGCGCACTGCTTCCAGCCCTTTGGCTGGCGCTGGCTGGCGTGTCGCCGTGTCCACAGCCTGCCACAGGCCCGACAGGCTCCGCGGAACCAAAGTGTTTGTCTGTTTGCGTCTGTCTGCTCGGGGCCGCTGCGCACGCCGCGCCCGTCCCGTAGGTCTGATTCCGGACCGCCGCGGCCTCGTCGCTCTGTCTCTCTCGCACTCGTAGGGGCGTGCGGGAGAGGCAGCGACGAGAGCGCCGAGCGGCACGCGACGTTCGGCGCGGCGACACACTGTACTCGACAGGAACACGCACGTAAAAGGCGCCCCCCCTCCCCCAGGACGTGCTGCAGGACGTCCGACTCGCGGACATGCACCGCGTCACCGCGTCACCGCGCCCCGAGGGACGGCAGCGGACTCATTCCGAGAGTCGCTTTCGTCGCTCTGTCTCTCTCGCACTCCATGGGCGTCCCCTAAGGGTGCGAGAGAGACAGAGCGAGAAGCAGAGAGACCTCCCTCCCGCGCGGAGTCAGACTGCGGCCCCAAGCCCTGCCTAGCCCTGCCCACTGACAGGCTCCATTGGCTCGGCCATGGCTCGGCCGGGACGGGAGCGGGAGGCCGGTTAGGCCCCACTGGAAGGCCCCACCGGGAAACGACACGGTGGTCCCGTCTCCCTCGCCCCTCACTCAATTCAGCTCCTTTCAACCCAGGCGGCGTGTCTCACGATGATTGGCCCACTTCGGTTAGCTATCGCCGTGCTTTTTGTGTTTTTGTTTTCGTAAGTACTGGGCCAAGGTCCTGTGATGCCACTGCCCCGCTCTGGTTATCTCCTCCACCACTCGGCCTTCCTACCAGCAGGCTGTTCCGAAGATTCGTCGCCCTGTCTCTGTCGCACTCACGGGGACTCCTGCAAGGTGCGAGAGAGACGGAGCGACGAGACGGCGCAGGCCCGGCTTGCTCAAATTGGCAGCGGCAACTTTGGCTTCAATTCCAAGTTAGCCTGCCGCGTTCCCTGGCCGCTTTTGTTTGTGTTCACCGACTATTTCTCGCAGGCGAGGCGGCCGCTGCAGTCGCGGTGCACTGCAGGGTGGTTCCGAAACGGTAATTGGTCGCCCTGTCTCTCTCACACTCCTGAAGTGTTCGTTGGGGCTGCGAGAGAGACAGGGTGACGAAGCGCCGTGCCGGAATCCAGCCTTCTGCCGGCGAGCAACTGGCTCCAGCCTCTGTGTCCCCGTGCCCGCAGGACGCAGGACAACTCGTCGTCCTCGTCGCCGGGCTCGGTGCGCGGCGGCGGTGGCGGCAGGCACGCCACCGTGGTGCCGCCGCACATCGCGGTGCTGTCCGCCGACGAGGACACGAAGCGCAAGTTCTCGCTGGCCGCCATGAGCAGCATGTGCGTCGCCTCCAAGTCCAGCACCAGCAACGCCAGCGACGACGAGGACGACGCCGACGCCGCCTGCGCCACGTACGCCGGCGGCTCGTCGGGCAGGCTGCGCGTCCGGGGGTCGCCGCGCTTCCCCCACCGCGTCGTGCCCCTCGGCTCCGAGGTGAGCCGCCGGCTCGGCCGCCGGCCGCACATTTCATTTGCCAGCAGACCGGTGGAGGCGGCCGAAACTCTAGGCGCGTTTCCAGCTCCAGAGTCACTAAACAGGACTCGAACCGAACGGGTGACCCCATCAATGGATTCCTCGCTCAGAGGGTAATCCATTGGTGAGGCCACACGTTCGGTTCGAGTTCCATTCAGCGACTGTGGAGCTCAAAGCGCGTCTTGAGTTTTGACCGCCTCCGCCGGTCTGCTGGCCCACTGTGAGCCGCCAGACTCTGTGGGAGTGGAGCCATGTGCACAGCAGCTACTCATTTGACCCTCCTCCAGGTCGCGGCGCAGTCCCTCGGCTCCAACCGCCTCCTCGCCGCCGCGGCGCCGCCGCGCTCGCAGCGCTCGCTGGCCGCGGAGCTGGCGGGGGCCCGCTGCCGGTCGCTCGAGGACGCTCGCGGCGTGCGGCGCTCGTCGCTCGGCAACCCGGCCAGCCTCTACCCCTTCAGGACCACGTCACTGTCGCCCAACTGCGACGTGTGGGACATCAAGGAGCGCGGCATCCCCTTCACCGACTTCGCCATCCGGGAGAAGTTCCTGCGCGCGCAGCGCGAGCAGCTGGAGGACAAGCTGCTGCGGCACCAGCAGCAGCAGCGGCAGCAAGAGGAGGAGGAGGAGGCGGCGGCCCAGCACCAGGGCGGCGGCGGCGACGTCCAGCACGAAGCGGACGGTGGTGGTGGAAGTGACGCGGCCCCGGCTGATCCATCACCGGACTGTCAGAGAGAGAGGGAGACAGAGAGACCTCAGGCCCGCACTTGATCGGCTCCAGCGCCGCTCCACCGGACTCACGACTGATTCCGCGTCGGCCCGGATTGGCCGTGGCCTTGCGGACTTCCATTACCCGGCTGCCGGCCCTGCCCCGGCCCTGCCTGCAGCTGTAGCCTCGCTGCCAAAAGTTGCCAAAAGTGTTCCCCTTCCCCGAGTTCACGGGACCCGCCAATAATTAATAAGTTATTGTGCTGATCTGCTGCCTCCGGGGCGTCGATTCTCTAAAGTTAGTAGCTTTCGCCTTCGTCTTCCAGTGAGCGCTCCTTTGCTCTCGAGTGCAATGTCTAGAGAACTTTGTTTCTGTTCTGTGAGGTGTTCTCGCAGAAGAAGCCACGTCCACACTCGACACGATTTGGGGTACCGCCTCCTCAACATGGCGGGTGACGTTTTCAACGTGTCGAACGTGGAGTTCCGTCCGTAAGCAATAAATAGAAGTAATTTTGGTGGTGTGATATTGAATTCTATAATACTTGTAAGAATGTAGTGATAAACTTCGTGTCAAATGGTTTCTTGGCCTTCTTCTCACGTCGACGGGAGTTACCTTTTCCTTCAAAGCTGACAATTTCAAAAATTGTGTTTATTTTTTTATGTCAAGGAAAAGCAGCGTTGTTGCTGAATCCAATGACAGCATTTTAGCTGTCGAACATGTTGCCTACCGCACGGCGTTGCAGGATGAATTCCCCGTCGGGTGGGTTGCCCACCTTTCCAGCAATACTCTTGAAACGTAGGAACAAATAAATGACGAAAAGTGTAGTGCGAAAAACTATCTGGTTTTGTTGTGGTTGTTATTTCGTTGTGAATAAATACTACTTATTACTAAACGAGTCCTTCAAGAACCTTCGTCAGACAGAACCCCAAACTTCAAAATTGAGGCTGAAAAACACTACTCACTTCTAAAGTTCCTAGATTTCCCACACTACCACAGAATTTTACCATTAAAGACGATTTTTGTGGCTGGCTGAAAAATAAAAACGGCCCCAGAACGGCAGCAGCCAGTCGCAACGGGCGATGCCGCAAGCACAGAGGTCCTCTGTTTTCAAGAGACCGACCCGGATTATCCACAGACTTCTTTAACAGACTTACGGTGCACGGCTCTATAACTCAGGCCGATAGTTCAGACCCTAATTCCATCATGTAAGTATACATGATTCCATTAACTCTATTATGGCCGACGAAATAACATTTGAATAATCCCGCTCGTTCGCTGTGCGGTCGATCGTCACTTGTTGGTCGAGTCGTCTGCTAAACCTGCGAATATCTCCTTCGCGTCCACATCAAACCATTGAAGTTTTGTGTCAAGTAAAGAGAATAGTTCGACATTAATTTTAGCCATGGAAATTTTTCCTTTGCTTACTCATCTCCGTCCACAGCATGTCGTTTCCCCGTTTCCGCGAAACTCGTAATCAAATTTGTACAGCCAATTCCAGCTACCTTTGACCCCCCCGCCCAACGTTACACGTTAGCGACATTAGATAGCTTCATACAAATGTCAAAATGTTTTCGAAACCATGTTGTGGATCACTTATTTTGGCTTGAAACACTGACTGAAATGGAAGAAGAGGCCAAGATTATTGCTCGGATCACTGTCAGCGACACGGTCGCTCGTATAAATTTAGGAATTGTTGTGTCCTTGTCCGCATTAGTGGCTCTAACTGCAAGGTAGGCTCGCTGAATCGCTGATTCTTGGTTATGTTGTCATAACTTTCTGCGGAACTGTATCAGTAGAAGTCTCTATTGGAAGCCTTTTAGAACAATCTTGGCCTTAGTATAACCGTGCATTAAATACGAACGTCATGTCGCTGGTTGATTTGAGCAACAACTTCATTGTTTACTTCTGAGGAATTAATCTGAATTTTGGAACCTTGAAAGGCCAAGAAAATGTGCTAATTTGCTGTCTTGACTTCAAGAATATTTTGGATTGTGTGTTTCACATATTCTTCACTTGGCTCATCTTTTCTTTTGTTCCAGCTTTTTGCTTGGTCTCCTTGTGTTGACGTCATACATACTGGGCCTGGCCCTCTTCTATTTCCTATTCAAGTGAGTATTCAATTACATACTTTTTGTTTACCGTCCATTTCGTTTCCTAATGTTCTAGTGTTTCAGGCAAAGGAATGCTTTGGGCAATCTGTTACAAATTTTCATTGGTGAGACCTCAACGGATGATGACAAAAGCCACAAGGCCACAGGTTGTTATGTTTGCGGAGATGGCTCCTGCAGCCGTAGCAAAGAATCACATCTTCATGCCTCTCATCATGATGATATAATGATAAATGCCGAACTGGATGAATCTATTGAAAGTGTAAGTACCTTTCCCCATATTGCTTACCAGTGTTAATGTTTGCTCACTTATTACGAATTATGGTTTACATCAATGTTTTTGTTGCAGTTGTTGAACAGGATATTAAAGGAATTTGTAGACTCCTGGTATTCCCAAATATCTTCAGATAATGCATTTGAACTTGAGCTGAGAGTTTTGTTGAGACGTGCATGTACTATTCTGCTTCAGAGAGGATTAAAGGTTTGAGAAAAATGCTGCACTTTCATTCCCTAGTTTTTTCTTTCAATTTTTTAAATTTTATGACCTTGAGAATCTAATTTGGTTCTTCTTTTACAGATAAACTTAGCAGAAATAATCTTTCAGAAGCTTTTGCCCGCTGGAGTGCGTCATTTAGAAGACTATTTAATAATTCGGGAAACATCACAAAATCAAAGGATCCCCTTTGTTAGAGCAGCAGTTCAGCACCTTGGCACTCGTCTTCATCCCGCTACCCTCAATCGGGAGAGGGAGCTAGAATATCTTCGGCAGCTAACTGAGTGCATTATGCCCTGCTTGGCGACTAATACTCAACTTCGGTGCCAGTAAGTTGATAAATGTTTCCTTTCTTTTTTTTCTTATCCACATATTAAGCATGTGATCTGAGCATTGTGTCTGTTTCAGAAACTTTAGTGCATTAGTAAGGGAACTCTTAGCAGGCTGGGTTCTGCTGCCCTTGGCTGATGTGTTAGCCGATCCATCAATCCTGAATAGCCTTCTCTTATTACTTCTTGGCCATCAACAGCTTACCCAGTATAAGGATGTCAATGAACCCAAAGTGAATTTTTTAAAGAAGTTTGTGGGTCTTCCTTCAAAACCTTCTTCTGTAAGAGCTTTTACTCCTTATTCGCTGCACCAAAGACCCATTTACAAGTTTAGGAATTCTTCTTTTATGGTTTGTTTTGTTGTTGTCCTAGGCTATTCATCCAGACTTGTCAAGTATATTAAAAGAACAGAAACTATTGTACCCTTTTATGCAGTTTCTTAAAGGGGAGGGAGCTGTAAACATATTGCAGTTCTGCTTAGATGTTGGTAAGAATCCCTTAAATTTATAAAGACAGGTCAAAAACAATTTTGTTCACACAATTTGACCAAAAAATTTACAACAATTATTTTTTATTGTTTGCAGAGGAATTTAATAGAAAAATGCTTACTCCAGACATAAGTTCAGAAGAAAAAGATTTGTTGTACAAAGACGCCATGGACTTATATTCAGTTTATTTTAATCCAGTATCACCTGACAGTATTGGTCTTCCATCTGACATAGTTGAAAATATGAAACAAGGTAAAATACCCCCAGTGATTTCTGTTATTTCTAGGCATTGAGATTGTTTTTGGAGTTCAAAGCCACAAGAGCTACTCAACTTTATTTTCCAATTTACAGTTTTAACTGATGATGTTGGCAAGCTACGAACATCCCCTCCACTATTCCAAGCCTATGAACATGCATACAGCATATTAGAAAACAAGCTTTGTCCGTTATTCCATGCAAGTGATGATGTGAGTATTAACTGACTTACTCATGTATTCTATCTTCCTCAAGCCTCTTTTTGTTTATTTTGACTCCTAACTTTTGCTTATTTTTTAATTAGTATTGTAACACTTTTAATGAAAGTCATGTGAGAGAAGGGTGATTACCTTTCACTCACCTAGAAATGTTATCAAGTACTAGTACTGTTTGTGTACAGATCTCTTGTTTGGGGGGGAGAAAATTTCATTTCAGGCTATGAAGACAAATTATGGATGCACAGACTCAAAAGAAAATTTCAAACAATTCTTCAAGAGAAGGCGCAGATGGTATCGATACACCGTATGTTTATTACAGTTGTGATTGTGTTTGGACTTGTCCTGTATCATTCTGTATGTGTCCTTGTCATTTTCACCTGTGCCCATTTCCCAAAAGTCCCTACATTTTCAAGGGATCAGAAAGAAAAATAATTGGGCAGCTAGATTGTTCGTTTTGTCTGCCATCTTTCTATTTCTCACTGCTGCTTTTTTGTAGGTGTTCTCAAGCAATGCATTTTAGGTCTTTTTTTGTTCTGTGTTGTTGGGGGTTTCCTTATTGTTTTTAAAGTGTACTACTTGTGCGGTACTATAGCTGGGGTGTGTTTCACTGTGATTCAGAATATATAATTGGCGTCCACAGACATCATTTCGATCTATCAAATATCTTGCCATGTTTTAAACACTTACTTGCGTGTTTTATGTTTGTGCAGTTTTTCAGGTGGCTGGCTGGACCTAGAGTCCTGGTTACTGGCGTACGATCAGGAAATAAGTGAGTTTTGAACCTGACTCACAACTTTCAAGTTTTGTATTGCCTGTATATGTTAAATTGTACATTTTTAAAACCTTTTTGCAGCTCTCCTTTGTCGCAAGGATCACCGGCAAGAAATAGGTGATTTTAATTTTTTTGATTCTTCATAATAACTAGCGCATATGCAATACAATTACTGCAGAAAGCTTCATGGCTTATCCTAATGAATTTTCCCTTTTTTTCTCTAGATCCAACAGAAAGGCCAATGAAAATGTAGGTGCTGTTGCTCGCATAAGCAGTCGTCTTCACAAGATCAAAGGTGTACTCAGGGGACCTGTGGAAGGTCACACATTTGACTCAGACCCAGGCATTGACCTTGTTGACCCAGACTTTGTATGTACTCTTTCATCACAAATTAATCACTTATCAATGGTGCTGTTGTGTCATTAGTGTCAAAAACTGTTTGTTCAGGCTGAAGATATGCAGTTATCAGACTCTACAGATCGAGATTTGAGTGCATGGAGAGTTTCCATACCTTCGGTTCAAACAAAACTTGATGCCAGCAATAAATCATATTCAGTGTTTTACATAGATGTACAGAAAGTTGATGGAATGAAAGAAGGTATGAACTGACTTGAGGTATTTTGTTTCTGTGTGCTGAGCTGGATTTATCCTGTATTTTCATACATTCAGTTGTGGAGGAAAATGAAGGGAATCATTGGACAGTAGAAAGGAGGTACACTGATTTTTATGCCCTTGAAGCCAAACTAACTGAATTCCATGGAGAATTTACGGATAACCAACTTCCATCTCGAAGAATGCTGTTCTTTTCAGCCCCAAATGCACAGTTTCTGGAGAGTCGCAAACAGGTAATTTGATTTTAAATCCCATTTCCCTTTCCACCTTCGTCCTAAACTAAAACAGAATTAAATCTAAACGTTACAGGCTTTTGAGGAATATATCCAGAAGTTGCTTTCAAAGCCTTCCCTTCGTGGAAGTGACTTACTTTATGCATTTCTCCGGGTACCTGGCGAGTTCTCTGAGATGAACTCCAGCCCAGATGCTCTCAGTCGTCTCTTACGACGAACTGTCCCTTTGACTTTGAGGAAGGAAAGGGGCCAACACCTAGAGCCATTCATCAATATATTCTTTTCTTCTACCGAGGGTAAAAAGATAAGGTATTGAACAAGACAGTTCAAATATTCATCTTACCTTAAAATTATGATTTTAAATTAATTTTTTTAATGTCACAATTTTTGCAGCAAACTAGAGTACAAAGATGTGAGTCAGGAAAGTCCACCAGCTCGTGATTTTCGTAATATCATTGGCCCTGTATTTCGTGATAATTTTAGCCTGACAGAAGAACCTGCCCTAAGCTCTAGTAACTCAGATGTCCCTCTTCTGAAATCATCTCTTCCCAGCAATGATCGGTTGAAAGGTTTTACAAATTCCTTAATTCACATTGGTGAGTTTAGCTGGTATAGTGGTATTTTATTTTGAACAGAATAGGTTGTACATTGATACATTTCTTGAAACAGGTGTTGTTGCGTACAATATCTCCCAACCATCCCTTCGCATTGCTATGTCACTTCAAGCATTGGTTGGGCAGACTTTGGATGCAGTTGTGTCTTATTTTGTTGGTCGAGCTCTGAAAACATTGTTAGTGGCACCACGTCTGGCACATCTTATTCATTTACTACAAGGTAAATTGCATTAATGCTGTGCTTGTCTAAGTTTTTGATTACATACTGACTCATTTTCTTTACCTTGATCTGTTTAAGGAGCAATTTTCAACAGTAAAAGCACTCATTGGAACTCCATGGAAATAGAAGAGCGGGCATGCCGTGAGTTAGATCAATTATGCACTAAATTTTGGCTTGCAAAGTTAGCTGCCCCAGCATTTAAGGGAGCTTTTTGTGCTGTGCAGTGTCCACAGCTAAATAAACAACTTTTATATACTCTGCTGGATTTAATTGTTGAAGAGCTGTTTCCAGAAATTTGTCATTCCTGTTAGAATAATTTATAAAGGGAAAGGAACCTTCAGTATTTGGAAATGAGAAATGGCCTAGTCAGAACATTCTTTTGGTTGATGGCAGTGTCTTAAGCAGTGCTTTATGTTTCTTTGCCGTTCTCTATGAGTGGTACAGGGTACATTTAGTATCTGGTTGTTTCATACAAGAACTAAAAGCTTTCAATGTATTCATTCCATGTTCAAATTTAATTTTGGTTGCAGAATTGAAGATGAACACAATTGTATATGTGCTATGGTAGAAATTGGCAATTAGATTAGGTACTGTTTTTACTTTTATGATTTTTTTTTTACTTTGTTTTCCTCTCTTGCCTTTCACATTAGAAGTGAAATGAGGTACTCATTTTCTGTGATTTTTCCTAGCTGAAACTGAAATCTTGTATCAATAAGAAAGGTGTTCATCCAGATATAATTTATATAGGTGTATATATCTCTCATTTGTTGACATTTTTAATGCATAATTTGTGACTAAGAGGTCTGTGATGATGATATTATATCTATGAGAGTGAACCTGGGGTGTAATTGTTTTAGTGTGAAAACCATACTATTGATATTACGTTCCATGTATCCCTTAGTTACCAACTGTTTTTGGTGAACATGGTATGGGAATGTTATTTTTTTCAATATGACTTTGATCTCTAGTCTACTTTTAGTTGTAAGATGGGAACATTTTGTAAGGTGATAATTATTTTTGCATATGTATTCTGTGGTCTGTCTGGAAAGTATCAAGTGAACTTGAGCTGCCATGCTTTACAGATGGTGTTTTAGTGTTATGGGCAGTACTGGGGAAGTTTTCCATAGGTCTTGTATTGCAACCAAATCAGAAGGACAATTTGTTACGCAATTTGCTGTATTTTAATTCCTTGTTTCAAGAGTGTTTCATTTTGTCAAAGGTGAGCATTTAATTAAGGTGAATGTTACCTAAGAATTGTCTTTATCCGCTTAGGCTTCTTTTATGGCAATTTACTGTTTCTAAAACCCTTGGGAAGAAAGCTTTCTTAATTGTTCGGCTCATTCATTGGAGTAGTGTGTCACACATGAGATGTACCCTTAACAGCTGCCATTAATGTGCAACAGGCACATTGTCCTGCAGGTCGATGACTTACACCCCAGAGTGTTCTTTGGGAGATTTTTTGCATGGAATTTGTGGCATCCACTTCTGCTTGCGTTGATGGAACAAAAATGTTGCTGTCTTTCTACAACGTCCACTAATATTACTGAAATCACAGCAGTTTTTCTAAGAGGAAGCAATGTTGGTTTGAAGGAAACATTTCTTATTAGTGTTTGTTTACAGGAATAAAATCTGTTCATTTGGAAGCAGAAGCCCCATATCTAATACTGGCAGAAATGTAATGTATCAGATCAAATACTTACTGTTGTATCTTTAGATGAATCTATTTTAATTTGTGATAGAGTTAATAAATGTGATATATTTGCTATTTGAGGGGTATTTGTTAAGTTCATTGCCCCGGTGCCCCCCCATGGCGTCGACGCCCTTGAGTTCAGGGAAAACCACACACGACTCAACATTTCCAACTATTTATTCAAAGAAATCGACTAATGAAAACAATGAAACAGCTTCATGTCAGTAAAATTTAAGGCTGCAGAAATACACATCAATGACAACTAAGCAAGTTTTGTCTATATTACAGTAAATTTATGAACAGAAGCAGAGGCCATGAGAAGTTTAGAAGAGATTCAATGAACTGCAAGTTCCATTCTACCCGACTTTCTGCCTCTACCAATATTCCAAAAAAGGTACAACAGGTCTTTTAAATCTATATGTACAATAATAACAAGACAATCCAGTTTACCTATATCATTGTAAAGTTTTCAAAAAATAAATTACAGAAAGGCAGAAAATTGACAGGAAAAGCAGTTGTCAATGAAAATTAATTTAAACAACAGACTGAGGAAAAATTCTTTTGATAGTCATCAAAAACAATAAATGCTCACAGCCAGTGAGGACTACACTGAACTAAATAGCTGAACGTAACCACATCAATTCAACATTAAATGCTTAAACAAATGTTGGTATAAATTGGTCAAATGTAAAACAGGAAGACATTTTACTATCAGGATAGTAACAAAACAGGTTCTAAGAGTATTACAAAGATTAACTATCACATAGGAATTGGTTTTATGAACTTTCACTTAACAATAATCACCTAGAATATTGAGTGAATCTGTTCCTCCAAGAAAAGCAAGTATCATTTGATAAAAGTACCATACCAATACCATGACATAAACACTCACCACACACATACAAAATTCCCCAAAATGTGTATCAATTCACACTTATAACATACATTTATAAATAAACCAGGAAAGAACAAACAGTGATGTCAGAAGTACACACTAGGCATACAAAGTACCTCAACACTTCCAATAACAATTTTACTATACTTATTTTACAACAATGCTTGTGTAAACAATCATACTATGTTATCTTCTCAAAACAAACGAGCACAACATTTTAAGTCAACACAGAAAAATAGACAAATGCCCTAGCAAACAATCCATTGCAAAGAATTCACACTGAAAGTGTTAAATATGTAAAAGTGGCCCAAAAAATAAATTTTGACTGTCATTGTGAATGGCATGTGGCCTCAAGTTCTGCAGGAACGGCTTGTACAGATAAGAGAGAAAATTTCGATTCAATTTAGGGAATTTAAAGAATCTTACCTATAAATCACAGGTTTCGTAATTGTAATAATCACAGCCATGCGTGTGCTTAAGTAGAGTTTCTAAAGCAGCCAGGTCAGTATCTTCTAATATTCTCAGCTGCATTTCTCCTCCACACATGTTTTCACTTCTGACAACACCACCCGTAATATCTGTAGAAAAAAAATTTCTTAGAATCATAGCTATCACTGGTTATTGATTCAACAGTAAATAAAATGTCCAACAAACAGCACACATTATGCATATATCAACAAAAGAAAACTGGGAAAGAGGAGTGTGCGCTTTCGTAACAATACAAAGTGGCAAGAAAATCTAAAGTGTCAGGACACTCAATTATCAACATTCAGCAATGAGGTGCTGGGTTAGTTTCTTTTTTAGTGATATTAGAAATACCTTTAAGTACCAATTACAATACATTAACAAGCATCATATCACTGCCTCTACAAAGTAATAAAGCTATATGAAATGGCCCATTAGGCATCGAGGTCGAGGTGTCATTGCATCCGCCAGTTGAGAAGTCGATCCTGGCAGTTGATGTATTGGGAGCTCATACACGAGAGCTGGGGAATGAGATTGCTCTGAGGTGCTTGGAGCACTGACTTGCATGCCAAAGCTATTGCCTTCGTGGGCCATGGCCTGGGATGGAGCCTCTGAAATCAACAGGAACCAATTAGCAGAAGCAGATAAGGCTATTTCAAGTTTCCTCTCTAAATGATAGTTATTAAGTCCTCCCAAAGTCCGTAAGAACCATTGACTACAGCTCATTTCTCTCCGAATTGTACAAATGATACTACAGAAAAGGCTCGGGGACGGATCAAATTTAAGCGCCAACAGGGACTCAGGTGCACCAACCCAAAAACGAATGAAAACGACTGCTTTCGGTTCGCCAACAGACGGGTAAAGACATCGTCCCGACTGCAAACTACAACCAAACTCGAAAATTGCTCTCAGTTTTGCTCTCAATCAACGTCACTGGACAACGCACGCACTCCCACCCAGGTTCATTTAGCCTCTTAAGTTGGTAATGCCTCGAGTGCCGCTAACTAGGACAGGACACTCTCAAACAAAAAGACTGGCTACACCGAAATCGACCCGGCGGCGCCAAGCCAAACACCCTCACCAGAGCGGCTGACACACGTCCATCGATTGTATTTACCTGTCATTGTCATCGCAGCCGCGTGTGCCTCTTCACTCGGAGATGGCAGGGAGGGCCGCGTGCGCTTGCCGCCGCAGCCCGCCATGTCGTCGGCGTCCGCGTCGCGCTGGTCGCGCCAACCCCCGGCCCCTTGCCCCTGCGCGAGCCCCAGCCCGCGCGCCTCCATGCTCCTCTTCCGCGTTGCTGCCGAGGCATGCCCGTGGCTCCTGAACGGGTCGGCATTCCAAACACGCTGCGGAGCCAGGCCCAAGGGGAAGGCCTGAGGGGCTGCGGCCTGAGGGGCTGCGGCCTGCTGGGCCCCGCCGCAGAATCCCACCGCGCCGGCACTTGGGCTGCCGCCAAAGGCACAGGGGGGGCCAGGCACCGCCGGCACCGCGGCCACCGGGGGGTTATTTTCACTGGTGTCGGTGTCCATTGAGCAATCCTGGTCGAGGACCGCGGCGCCGGTGCCATGCTGCTGATGGAAGCCATAGTAGCCGTTGGCGGACACCAGACTGTTCCTGTGGCAGTTGCTGGAGTACGCGTGCTCAGACGCCGCCGCGACGCTGCCCCCGGCACTGCACGCGCCGGCGGCGCCGCTCTCCTCGAACAAGAGCGAGTTGATGCCGCTGCGAGCGTCGCTCCGGTCCAACGAGTCCTGCGGGAAGTACCGCTGCCGAGAGTTGCCGCCCGCGCCCCAGGTCATGGGGCCCAGGACGTCGTGGCTGGACACAGTCGGCATGGCGAAGCGCGGCTAGCGCGGCGGGTCAAGGAGGCACCTGTTAGGTTAGGAGGGGTACGGGGTTGGCAGTCAACAAACAACACAGGATGGATGGTTCGTAGAATGTATCTGTGTCACTTTGCAAAGGGCAGGACGCTCGTCGACTTGGCTGTCACAGGTAGGAACGTCGCTCCGCGGCCGCGGAACGGGACGAACAGACGTGACAACGAGGCGAAACGCGGTCCGTGGTCGAGCACGGCCAATCTATCTTTCAGCGCTCGCCGAACTGAAGTGAAGAACTCGGCCGCGGCCGCGAGTTCAGACACGCTTGCCGGGCCAGCCAAGGCGGACAGACAGACAGACAACGACAACGGCACGGCGGACGGCGGCAGTCGGCAGGTTTGGAGTTGACGCCACTCCCCACCCTCGCCCTCCCCCACTCGCGCCTCCCTGCCCCTCCCCACCCCTCCCCTCACCCTTGTGCCTCCCTTCCACTTCGCTAGCAGACGACACAGTGTAGTGTGATGGAGATCAGGCGGAATCGAGTCAGTCCCTTCTGTTTTAGGCGTTTTCGGGACGGGGAAAGGACATTCGCGGTTGAGTTGCAAACGCAAGCAACGAAAACTATTAGCAGCAGATGTTTTTCACACACCTGCACGATTTGTATCGACCTGCATGTACATCGATGGTGTCCGACGAGACTCCATCACAGTACATTTTAGAACAGAATTGGCGCGAACACTTGAAGGTTTCCCATTGAATGAATGGAGCGTTGCTGAGTACATACCGTGTATCATCCTTTAATGTAATACAGCGTCATGCCATGTAACAATCGTGATTAAAATCAAAGGCAGCCACAACACAAGAGGGCCACAGTTAGTACCGTCAAACTAAGTTCGGGGAGACGATACACAGTGCACCGTCATGGGGTATCGACAGCAGGCGGCGCGGGGTAGCGCCGCAGGGAGTATCGGCACGCTCCGTCGAGTCACTAACTTAACAGGCGGAACCACCCGGAACTTCTGATATACCTTATTACCTACTACGAAATGCTTTGCAATGTTTCGAAAACAAAAATCAGTTTCCTTTCCTACTTTCCACCGCAATAACACCTGATAACACCTGGCGCAGAGCTTGCATCCTCCGCAGCATGAGGGCGCCACGGGTGCTAGTGGGCCAAGAAAATCCTGATATTTGAGTTTGAAAGCAGCTTATCCATCGTGGAACAATTCCATTCTCTTAGTTCTCCCTACAATATTTCTGCTTGTATATTCCTGAGTCATACCAATCCGAAGAAAAGGCTTGTGGAGGCTAGGCGGGCGGTGAAGTAGAGTACGTTTAGAACAGGAGACTTGACTTGAGCGCTTTTTATGTTGTTGTTGTTTTTGTTCTTGTTGTCTACGCTTTACGCTTGCCTTCCTAACAAGCACACAAGCACGTAGCATCATCAAAGTGTCTTTCTTCTTCAACTTTGACTATTTGATAGTTTTTTCCGCATTGATAGAAATGCTGTCAACGATCATTCTGGTGTGACCATATTGATTATATGTTACTTCCACTTTCAAAAACCTTGACCACATCAACGCTAACATGTCGGATTCCGATGGTTCGGAGATGGATTATCAAAGCGAAGACGGAGAGATAAAAATTCAAAAGAGTCCTCTGCGGAAAGATAAACACAATGAAGAACTGCCTTTCAGGTTCGTAAAAATCAAACTGTACTCTAAGTAGTTATAAAAAAAATAGTTTCCATAATTTTCTAACCTTAAAATGAATGAAACATATCGCACTTTGACTATTTTCTTTTATTTCCTGGTCACCTGCACAGTAGTAACCAAAATTTTGATTAATTTTTGACTTGTAAATCAGCTGGCAATCATTTAATCATTTTATATTTGTTGCTATTTGATGTTATTCCCTGTGATTTGTTTTTGGTGACTGTAGCGGCCTTGTTTTTTGATTTTCAGCTTGTCAGATGAAGATGCTGAAGACACAGCTGATTCCCTGGACATCAAACCTCCTCAAGCCAACGTTCATCCACTCAAAGCTCGAAGTCACAGGGAAAAACGCAGTCACCGAGAAAAAGAAAGGCGCGCTTATGCAAGTGTGAGCGTCATGTCAAGTCTACGCACTTCAGAACGATCACCCAGGATCACACTGTTAACAATGCGTCTTCTTTGTACAGGGCCATCCAAGTCATGCACGAGGAGCAGAAGAGAGACCTCACAAGAAAGGTCATCACAGAAGCAGAGAGGAAAGACATAGGGAAAAGAGAGAAGAGCGTCATCGTGAGAGAGAAAAACGACATCATAGGTATTTTACCATCAGTGCTTTTTTCTTTTGTTGCAAGTCTGAGGTATTTTTGATTCACTTGAAATAATTAATTACTTTCAGGGACAAGCATGGTGTGATTGATGCTAAGAGAGAAAGATTAGATTATGGAGTGGATGAATTAAGACATCGTGATGATAGTGCCTTCCGAAACCATAGAGAGGTATGTTTCCCTAGGTATAACCACTCATTCAATTGTTATCTTGTTTAACACATTATAATCTGATTTATTTTTTTTAGGCACCGGATGCATCTCGTGCGTCATATAGAGACGTTCTGGAGGGGCGTAGGGTAGATCCTCGTGATGTTCATAATTCAAGAGAACCCCGTGAAACACGAGACATTCGTGAGGTTCGTGACGTCCGTGACGTCCGTGATTCTAGAGAGTTTAGGGAACTGAGGGAGAGGGAGAGGGGTGATAGGAGAGAAGATCAAAGTAGAGACCGCAGCCACAAAGAGAAAGTAACTTGAACATAATTTTTAGTTTGCAGTAACTAATTTGAATTTCAGGACAAATGCCTTTCATATTTGTCTGTGTTTTTCTTCCTCAAAAGCTATCATCTGCTGATCGAAAACCTGATGACCTGCGAGATAGAATTCTTGATCGCAGAAGGGATGGTGAGTCTCATCATGAAAGAGAAAGACATAAGCGGGAGAGGCGTGAAGGTCAGCACCAATTACATCTTGACCAACGTCATCAGCAGCTAGAGCAGCAACGGCATCAACTTGCACTACAGGATCAAACTTTGCCCCCGCCGGTTAAAGAAACTCCTCAAGAGCGGGCGGAAAGGGAAGAGAGGGAAAGTCGTAGGTTGAAATTAATTGAAGCAGGTAGGAATCCAGTTATTGGACCTTACTTCGGCAGTCCCTCAGTGTCCCTGTCCCTGCATGCTCGCGTTACCCTTGATCCCCGTGTAAAGTACGCACACTCAATGACTCCATCCATATATTTTTACCACAAGATTTTTATCGCAAAGTGCAATCATCAGAATGCCTGTTGTTACTTTCCCTCTATTAACATTATCCTGCAGATAGTTTGTGAACTTTGACTGTTCGTTTTCTCACATATTGCTTTCATTTTTATATAAAGATATTGTTGCAGAAAAGGAAATGGTCCGCCAGAAAGAAGTGTACCGCAGGGAGCTTGAGGCTCGAAGAGCCAGACGACAAGTAGAAGAAGAGAAGGAAAGAACATTGTCTAATATTGTCATGAAGAGAGAACGAAGTCGGAGCAGGGAGAGGAGGCAACTTATTGATGGTAACTGTGGGCTGCCTTGAACTTAATGAATTTTGTAGTAGCAGATTCTAAACCTTGTAGTAGCAGATTCTGAACCTTAATTTTTCCCTGTTAACAGATGATTCTGCTGTAATATTATCTGGGCCGTCTGATGAAGAAATGCAGGAAGAACAAGATGAAGAAATGGACCTAAATAGAGATATGAAGAGAGCTGATTTAGAAAGTGGCAGTGCAGGAAGTGATGCTTCTAGCACTTCTTCTAGTGACGGTGGTAAGATCATGTTCTCAGTTCTGAAGTATCGTATTCCACATGCAATGTGAACCCAACACTCAACAACCGTCCTATTTTTTTTTTATTATTCAGAGGAGAGTGATGATACAGAAAGTGACAAGAGAGCTTCAGATGCTGATGAAGAAGAACCAGGTCAGCAGAAAAATGGTACAGAAGATGCACCAAAGGTGGAGAATGGAGTTGTCTCTACTCCTCCTGTTCCCACACCAGCTGAATCTGATGAATTGGATAGCCTTGAAAAATTGCCACCTTATTACCCTGCTATTCAAGGATGCCGCTCTGTTGAAGAATTTGTTTGCCTAAACAGGTAAGTATTTTATTATTATTATTATTATTATATTGTAGGGAGCTAACTGACCAGTGGCATGGGCATGGATCCAATTGTTCTTTGCAAACCCTATGTGGTTGATATCTTGTCTGTTTTCTTCTTTGTGGCCTACAGAATTGAGGAGGGTACCTATGGTGTGGTATACAGAGCCAAAGAAAAGCGAACAGGTGAAATAGTGGCCTTGAAGAGACTTAAAATGGAAAAAGAAAAGGAAGGATTCCCCATCACCTCTCTCCGTGAGATAAACACTTTACTCAAAGTATGTTAATTTTTTAAATTGTTTTCCGGGAGAGTTTTAACTTTGAAAACCTCTACTCTTTTAATACTAATGGTTCATCTTATCTTCCAGGCTCAGCATAAAAACATTGTCACTGTGCGGGAAATTGTGGTTGGCTCAAACATGGACAAGATTTTTATTGTTATGGACTATGTTGCTCATGACTTGAAATCTCTCATGGAAACAATGCGGCACAAGAAGCAGGTCTTCCTTCCAGGTACAATTTTATCTTATCAAAATTCAACCCAAGAAGTTCTTTTATTCGAATTCTGACAATCTCTCTCTGTTTTAGGTGAGGTCAAGTGCCTCATGCAACAGCTTTTGAAGGCTGTTCTTCATTTGCATGACAATTGGATTCTGCATCGTGATCTTAAAACCTCAAACCTTCTTCTCAGTCATGAAGGTGTTCTAAAAGTAGGTGACTTTGGATTAGCAAGAGAATATGGATCTCCTTTGAAGTCGTATACTCCTATTGTTGTTACACTGTGGTATCGATCTCCAGAGCTGCTGTTAGGATCAAAGGTCTGTTAAATGTGACTTTAGCCTGAATTGACACCTGTTGGTTGACATTTCTAGATCTAATATTTTAGTATGTACTTCATTTTAAAATCCATCACTTGCTGTCATTTTTACTAGGAATATTCAACACCAGTTGATATCTGGTCTGTGGGCTGCATATTTGCCGAATTTTTACTCATGGAAGCTTTATTCCCTGGTAAATCTGAAATGGACCAGTTAAATCGGATTTTCAAGGTAAGTTGGTTTTTAAGTTTTGTGTGTTCTTCTACTGTTTCCTATGACTTACTTTATTCCTTTGTTAATTCAGGAGCTGGGCACACCAACTGATGACATCTGGCCTGGTTACAGTTTGTTACCTATAGCACAAAAATGCAATTTTGCTGACTATCCTGTCAGCAACTTGCGGAATAAGTTTGCCACAATGCTCACAGAGCAAGGTTTAGATCTCCTTAATAAGTGAGTAATAAATAACTGTCGAGCGTTGTTTTATATTGTATCTACCACTGACTTAGTCATCCTTGCAACTTGTTTTGCTACAGATTTTTAACATACGACCCAGATCAAAGAATTACTGCTGATGATGCATTATCACATGCTTACTTTAAAGAGGTTCCCTGTGCCATCGATCCGGCCATGTTCCCAACATGGCCAGCTAAAAGTGAATCTGTTCATCGGAAAGCTGCCAGTCCAAAACCTCCATCTGGTGGCAAAGCCTACAAGCAATTGGTATTTAGTGTTCCCTGAAAATTCATTGTAACCCTCTTCTCTATAATTCTTTCTAATTAACTGTTTGAATTTATTTTTCAGGGTGATGGTGATGATGAAATAGCAGCCATGGGCTTCCATATGGGATCAACACAAATGGAGCGGACAAGATTGGGAGCAGGCTTTAGCCTGAAGTTTTGATGTTGACTTAGAAGAAATTACAGACATTATTTTGCTGGCAAACTTAAATAAACCTTCATGTGATTTCTTTCTAGAGTATGTATAAGTGCTTAAGCAATAAGATTTCTGTACAGAATCATGAACTGTGTATAATAAAATATTCTTTTCTCTATATGCAGTCTTATTTCATTTATTTCACAAGTTCACAAGTTTATTATTTTAAAAAAATATAGTAAAGAAAAAAAAAACACTTGCATTGGGTTTTGAAGATAACTCATATCTTCTTCGAAATAAAGTGAATGACTGAGTTGTTTCTGTTACATCATAGTATTTGTTCACTATATTTTAATTACACAAGAGCAGGTCGGGTCGGTCAAGAGCAAGACCTGCACCAATATAATAGTCACATCACATTTGTTGAATGAACCTTTGGTTAACATAGAATTATCACATCCATACTGAATATCCATTTCCGTCCTCTCGTTTTCTCTTACAGCCTTTTTCTGCTTTATTGAGGTTTCTGTCTCCACCCCCTGTAGTATTGTGATGGTGTAAGTGTAGCTCTAATGGATGTTGAGAAAACACTTGAGCCATTACAAATTTTTGACCATTAGCCAGAAGCAGTTTAGTACACCCAATGAAGGCCAGTACAGTACGCTCAATGCCTTCAACAATTTGCAAAGAAAGTTGTCTTGCAGCAAAAAAATCTCTCGTCTTGGTTGCTGCATGTGCTTCTTCTTTCCATTCCTGAAGGTAATTTAGGAAACCCAAAAGTTCTGTGAATCTTGTGTCATGGGGGCTGTCATACTTGGCCAGGTTTGGATTACTTGTTTCTCTTGCTTCATCAGAATGTGTCCCATTAAGCATATCAAAGAAATCATTCACCTTCTTGATAAAAATAGCAGTCTCTTCACACTCTTCGTACTCCAATATGTCAATCATTTTGGAGACAGTGTTTCTTCTAACTTGGGCTGCTACAGGATCCCTCATTCTTGAATATGAGTCAGGAAATACATTTTCTTCATTTAATATGAAGCCATTGGACCATGCTTCATGCTCTTCTTCCATGTACATGCGCATTATTGTATCCCAGGTAATAATCTGCTCATTCTTGATCAGACAACAAGTCTTTTCCAGACCTCTGCCAGAACTCATGAAGTTGCTCTTTATGCATTTCAACAAATGGGAAACATCAGTGAAGAAGTACAAAGGTCTCCCATCACCAGAACAATAATTAAGTGTGTCAAAAACAATCCCATTGTCATTCTTGGTTACTGGTACATGCATTTGATAGAACGCATTACTGACAGGATTATTATTTGAAATTAGGGCAACAACAGGAACTCCAACCAATTCTAAGCTACCAATTAGTTCCCAAGTTCTCAAGAACAACTGCTCTTTGGTCAGGTTGGTGATAAGATATGAAGCTACCGCTTCCTTTACACCAGATGCAGTCCCTTTAATCATGAAGGTCAACATATGCTTTACAACTGGACGGGGACAGTTTAATTTTAATTCTTCTTCGTCCTCCAGCAACTTCTGCAGCTCATCCATTTCTCTCGTAACTTTACGCAAATGGGCATACCCACATAATTCACCAGTTTCCTTTGAAAAGACTAAATTTTGAGAGGTTGTTATTTCATTAAAAATGAGACAGTGAAACCTTTCATAAGGTTCCTTCAAGCCTTTCACTTTGGTCGCAGCTATGTTTTTGTTGCTGGCAACAGGCTTATAAATTGATGAGTAATCAAAGAGTGCTCGACCACAGGGCAACCTTATCAATCCACTTTGTCGTACAGTATCAGGTGCAACAGGGGATGTGCTTATTAGGTAAAGTGCAAATCGGATCAGAATGGGGTGCCACCTCATGCATGTCTTGCAAACCACACAAGTCTTGCTCGTTACTTTCGAGCACCTGATCTGGTGCTGTAAAAATATTCTTTGTACCTGAGAAAGCTTATTGTTTTCCAATATCGTTTTCAAATCTTTGCTCAACTGAGTGTCAATGTCAATTCCTTCCATATCCAACATTTTTGTTACCCTTGCTGTAAGTCTGCAATTAGTCTCATCTTGAAGTTCAATTTCCCCTAGTTCTTTCTTAAGGAGTCTTATGGAATCACTGTCTAACAAATAATCATGATCAGAATTCCAACCTGGACTTTCTTTAAAGCTTTCTGTTTCATCACAGTCTTGATTAATGGCCAAGTCCTTGGCAGTAGTCTTTGATTTGTGACAGTTCATTTTATCAGCAAATTTAGAACAAGCAACACACTTTTTTCGACGCATAGATATTAAAAGAGAACAGCGATTAGATCTGAAGCAAGAACCATTAACATTTTCAAACATGTCCTCTTCAAAAATGATATCCTTTTTGCCAACAAAAATCTTGCTGTTAATTTCATTGGACTCAATACCAGGACATATTTTAAGTTGATGAACAGCATACACAATTTTCACAACTCGATTTGAAAATGCCACAACATTATCATTGCAGAGTGGAAATTTTAAACCAGTCTCATTCCAAATCTGGTGGTCTTTGGGCAGAGGTTTTCCGTGAATGCCAATCTGCACAGAACCCTGCTCATAGTGCACAAACACACTTCTTCGCACAGACGTGAGTGGAAGACATTCTGTTGTAAAGAGAAGTGCACAGACTCCATCCTTGCGACAAATGGGATTCCACGGCACTGGGAGAGAAACCTTCAGATGTTCCAGTAATGTGTCCATGAGGTTCACACTGATACCAGAAAACTGTGGCATCACATCTGGTCCATAAAGAGGGCTTTCAACAGAAAGCAGAGGAGAAGTAGGTCTAACAAAGGATGAGCTGCTATTATTCCAGTCTACCTGAAAACGTCCAATAACAATAATTTATAGTGATGGAAAAAGAAACAAGGCAAAAATATATCAATCACATTGAATAGTGATGCTTACAATTAGTGGCACTCTGAATTCATCTATTCTACTATAAATGTTGCTCTCCTGTTTGTGAGAAGAAAATTGTTACAGATGTGATGTTTAGAAACATTGATGCATCATACAGTAATTATGAAAACCAATTCAAATAACAAACCGTAGGAATTTTAAAGTGTGTGGGTGATGGTTGTACAGTATCATTTACAATAGTAACTATTAGAGTTGAATCCAAATTCTTTATGGTCATTTGACGACTGGTGCCTTCCTAAGAAATCAAATTTTAGGAAATTGGTGAGCTTCTATCGGCTTCTACTCATGATGAAGCATATTACATGGATTATTAATTATCATATTGCTTTACTCACGGAAACAGGTGCGGGTTCGATTGGAAGAGATGGTAAAGAGGCAAAGGTACGCTTCCATTGCCCTTTTATGGTATTTTTGAGAAGAGGGCTGATATCTATAGCTCTTGCACAAGCCTGATCTGCTTCATTCATTTCACTTTGTACCTCTCCTTCAGTATCGCAGTAATCCACTGACTCAAGCTTTATTTCCAACATACTAGATTGATCTGCTTCATTAATATCAGGCTTTATGCGGGTTGGGTCAAACTGATCATCCACTGTCTCTTTGACAAATGCACTGGTGTGGTATGTATTTGGACCATTCTGTGCAAAGATGAAAAGAACAAAAGTAAATTAGAAGCCATTCTAAAGACAACAATTAAAAATTAAGTAACAATTTGAATTCACCCCTTCAACAGAACCATAACCAAATGTTTTGGTCGATGTGTTGGCTTCTAAAGCATCAACCATAGGTTTATGACTCCTTCTTTTCTTTCTACTGAAAAAGTTGCGCGGATTCCTCCGCCTTTTTTTCCTCTTTACTAGAAAATGTAAAGATACAATTAAACCAATGATGAACCTAATAAAACTTCTGAGCTGACGATGAAATATTTACTCACTCTTGGGTTTCTCATTAGAAGTAATTGAACCAGAATGGGAAGCAACGGGAACCTCCGCTACATTCATATCCATTACTCAACCTGCAAAAGTTTTCTTCATACACTATCTGTCATAGTTTGAAAGAACCCTAACAGTGCATTGAATTCAAAGAAAGAACTAAAGGAGGTTGTAAAAATATATTTTGAGTCAAATGCAATACAAAAAAAGATGCGCATAATCCATAAAATTCTTTAAGAATACAACAAGGACTGGTGGACCATCAGTCATCGGGTTACTTTCGTCTCAAAATAACTGGAACTGCAACTGACTCAATATTGGTAAAGCATTTAATTGGAGGATAAGGGTACCAAAAAGATAATCAATAGCACAGGGATCAAATTTGTGGGAAGGAAAGCAGTTGTCATAGTAAAAAAAAACACTGCCATCATATCTTCAAGCCGCGATGCTGATGTACTTTCGTCACCAAATAAAACCACACACTGCACGCTAGGTATCAACTTTACCTGAAACAGTATCTACAATTCTTCTACTACTTGACCAATGTGGAGAAAGCCACTGAAAATTCCTGTTTAATTCAGTAAAATTAGAACAAGTCCACGACCGCTGCACTCGAGAGCCTGCTGCACAGTCTGCTCCGTCTGCTCTGCAAGCAGCCTGTCAGCGCGGTGCCGCGACGCCAAATTCGAATTCACATTCATATTGCAATACCAACAAGAACAAAATTTGAGTAAACCGATGCCTTTCCAGTATTATCGACATGGAATACCCAAGTCTGAACAGCAATTTGCTTTACCCACACAAATCAACTTCATAAATTTGGAAGGGCGCGGGAAGGAATGACCACGTTTTTTAAGTTCGATCCTTCGCCGCCTACGCCTGTGTCTGGCCCATTAGCTCAGTTGGTTAGAGCGTCGTGCTAATAACGCGAAGGTCGTGGGTTCGATCCCCCCATGGGCCATATTTTTCCAGATCGTAGAATGAACATTCGATTTTATGTGGTACTACTGAAAACTGAATGGTTGGCTTATTGATTGGAATTCAGATCAAACACAAATTGGACAATATTATATTTATTCATAAAAAATTTTTTTACAAGTCAACAAAGACGAGTTACATCATCTTTAAAGTTAGTAATTTGATAATGTTTGTGGTACAGAAAAAGTTCAACAATGAATGCATTGTACACATATACATAAAATGGGTGGGGTCAAAAAATTACTTACAACATCACATGATAACCAGGAGAAGCTCCTTTATTAATTTACATTGTGGCATAAAGAGTAGAATTAGAATGAAGAAAAAGAAAAAAAAAAAAAGAAAAAAAAACACACAGCAACCCCTGCTTGTACAATAACTACATCTTTCATATGAAACATGTGCAGTTTACATGGTAAACCAAGTAGGAAGTATTGGCGACTAAGTGTGCTGGCTTATCAATATCCATCAAAATTAAGTCTGACAACTCAAATTACCTAAGACTATTTATATAAAAAAGCCATTTTTGTACAATATCTGGTGTCTTTGCATCAGAACACGCCATCAGATACTAGTAACCAGCAAAAAGATTAGTCAAAAAGCATAAGACAAATTGATTGATATTGGGTCAACACAGGTTTGTTGATTAATTAATGCAAGTTATTGTCTGTTTCAAACAGAACAGTATCCCCAATTGATAAAAAAATAAATAAGTAGGAGAAAACATAAGTCCTCAAAAAGACAATGAGGTATAATCTTTTAAAATACACATTTGGAGTTAATTAAGCTAAGGTTAAAATGTTGCTTGAGACCTCAATAGACACAACAAATCCAAATCCTACTAGAAAGTAATCAGTCTTCAAATAAGAAGTGGCCACAAGAGCCTTAGTTCTAGACAAAATCAAACTTTATACTTGTAAATGCTTAGCAATGCATAGGGATAAAAGCACTACACTTCTAGGATACACAATCAACCTGCCCTACAATGGCCTTGCTAGAAACAACACTTAATTCCAATGGGTATCCACCTTCTCAACATAAATGAGAAAATAGCTGGAGCCAAGAATTTGTAAACACAGGCCATAGAAGGGAAGGTTTGTCATAATTTTAATGTGATTATAACTAGCAATCAATAGCGGATAATAATGCACACATCATAACTACGATGGAACAAGTTTCTGAAACAGGCTGACACTTCTTACAGGACTAAACACTTAAAAGAAAAAAAAGGAGTCACAAAGAGGCAATCATTGTAAATTGGACCTATGCAGAAAAAACAGCAAACAAAAACGTCTGTCAATCAAACGTCAGATTCGGACTTTGTTCACATCCATTATGTAGCATCATGTGGCACAGGGAAACTTAACAACAACAAAAAAAAAAAATTATCCCTACTGCAACATAAATAATGCTCAATCATATTTTGCACAATGGTTTTCTTCTGTAAATAACACAGCCTAAAATAGTCTCTAATTAAAAATACACCTTAGTCTACTTCTCCACTACAATATAAATCCAGAAGTAACATTTGACCCTTTCATACAACAAACAAAACCAATCAAACAGTTATCCTGAAAACAATTGCCCTGGAGTATCAAAATCAGTCAACCGCTTTGTTAAAATGGTATTAACAAGAAATATTATTCACAGGAAATATGCTACTTGCAACCTAGCAACATTGTAACTGCCAAATTTGTCTAAGTGTGTTAACCACAGGCTTTTGACAATATGCCGTAAATTCAAAGGCTACAGGATAATTCTGTCGAATGAGAAGGTTCTCAAAAGTACTGAGGTGCTTTTATCCTCCAGTTTAAAATAATACGCTTTCATAAAAATTTTATGAAAATCCAAAACCTTACACCAAAATTCAAAATTATGCTAGTTTTGCATTGACATTTTCTACCCTATCTAGACAGTTATTAGAAGTTAAATAAGTGAAGTAAAAATTGATGGAGAAAGAGACAATGGGCAAAAGCCAGCGCACTTAATCAGACACAAGGAACTAAACCACAACTAGTAGAGTAACACTCAACTACATGACAATTAGGAGTACAGTGCTAAATCAATGAAAGAAATGAAGCACAGAGCCTCTCCACTTATCTAAAACGAAAAGTTACAGACATCATTCTAGCAAATGATGCAATAATAAATGATGCCATGGTAAACATTCAATACTGTACAAATTCTCATCACGCCGCATTAAATATCTTTACTAAACAAAACAAAAAGAAATCTAATCCTTTTATAATACATAAAACGACATAAAAACTGTGTTGGCTTAACAACATATATTTACAGCTTATTGCTACTGTACACAAATTCTGATATTTGATTTATCAGTCTACATGTGATAGCCCAAATTCAGATGAGGGTTTCTTTTATTCTACTGCAATTTACAGTAAAAATGCACACAATTTAAAAAAAAATATTGATTTACACTACTGTAAAACCCTACAGATGCTTTCATTCCAGGCCTAATTTATGCACACACACGCACACACATATCACTCAATCATTCAAATTTGATCATTTGAACCTAAAACTTTGAAGATTTTAAATTCCACTGAGTAGTTAAGTGCCCTTCGAAGTTTTCATCATCATGTTCTGCAAATAACAATAAATAATTAAAAAACTTTAAGGTTATTAAAATATTCTACATCATCATTTATAGTCCTCAACACACTAACCTGTAAGTTTTACTGGCTTGTTGATTGGTCGGAAGTGGCTGTAGATGATGCTGAGGTTGCAGATGAAGCAAGCCCGCCATATGGAGCTGGTGGCATAATGAAAGGGCTGCCAGGGTAGGGAGGAATTTGTCCATAAGGATCTCGTGCACTTCCATATTGACTTCCATAAACATTTTGTGGGTAAAAACTACCCGCTGGAGGTGCAGCGCCAGGCATGGGCCTCAGGTATGGTGACGTTGGGTCAAGCCCTGCCTCGGGTCTATGAAATGCACTATACATTGCGTCAAACTGATTTGGTGTATAGCCATATGGAGATGCAGCATAAGGATTGGTATAATTTGCAGCAGCTGCTGCTGCAGCTGTGAAAGGGTTGGCTGAACCTGCAGCACTTGGTGGAGGAGGATACTGGCATGAAGTGGGATTGAAGGACGGAGACATCATCATTGGATTGTAAGCTGCCGCTGCCGCCGCTGCACTGGAACTTGATGAGAACGCTGCTGTGTCAGAAGCAGCAGATGACGAACCAACAGCAGAAGAGGCAGCTGAGGTAGATGCAGAGGAACCGCTACTTCTACTACTATGAGTAGCACTTGTACTGCTTGAACTAGAAGGTTGCCGACTCTCATAGGCAGCAGGCAGAGATGATCGAGGTGACTCATGAGAAGATTTCTTGCTTTCTGACCTTGATGTAGACTTAGAACTAGAACGGCTGGAAGGAACTGGGGTACTTGGATTTGGTTCTGTTGAGCTCTTGTTGCTCAACGAGGTCTTTGGATCAGGTAAAAAGCCAGCCGAATAGCTATAGGGGTTGTAGTAGTTGGAAGTAGGAAGCGCTCCAGGATAGGCACCATAACTTCCATAAAGATTAGCATAAGGATCTAGAGGAGGGAAATTAGATGCAGTTGTAGTAGGAACACTACTTGACGTGCTTGAAGGGTTTAACTTTGTGCTAGAAGAACTACTTTGGCTTGATGAGACATTGCTAGATGAGAGTTTGTTCGATGTTTTGGAGTGTGATGTTGATAGGTCAGTTCCCACATAAGAAGAAACACCACCTTCACCAGAAGGTGGAGCTCGAGATTCCAGGCTGGATCCATGTGCCGTTGAGGATTTACTGGAAATATTTGAATGGGCAGAGTTGTTGGAATTGTCATCCAGTGCAGGAGATTCGAGTCTTCTTTGCTGAGAAGTAGACTTGCTACTTGGTGCAGGTACTCCGGGAGAGAAAGCTTGTGGAGCTGGGGGACTCTTCCATTGATTTTCAATATGTGAAGAAGATTTGTCTTCAACACTTAGGTCTGTTGGTGTATTAAAGTTAGAAGAAGTCATCATGCTTCCACTCTGCATGTTAGCATTGTACTGCTTGCTCACTGAAGATGACGAAGTGGGGAAGCTGCCAGGGAATGACCCTTTGTCCGCATTATAAGCATTGCTTGAAAATGATGAAGCATTGGAGTTGAGAGAACTAGACAAATCTGTAGCTTTGTTCAACAAGTGATCTTGGCTTCTTGAATTCCCTTGTTTGTCAGAAAATCCATCTGAAGACTTATTTTCAGCACTTCCATCATTGTAAATTTTTGTCAGATCTGATGCCGTAGCTTTGCTAAAATTGGAGTCTGGATCCCCACCTTGAGGGTCGCCTCTAAGCTTATCACCTTTATCATCAGTCTTTGGAGGAATGGAATCATTTCCTTTGCTAGATGAGGAGGAGGGAATGTCCAAACTACTATTGCTGCTTTGTCCATCTTCACTTTCTACCCTTTCACTTCGTTCCAATTTTCCATCACTTTTTGATTCAGTCTTTGCCTTATCTTTATCAAATGTTTTCAAACCAGGAAAGTTTGTAGCTGGAGCCAATCGAGGAGTTATAGTGACTGGTCCTAGTGTGCGTGTCTTAGCAGACGCTGGAGTTACAGTCACAGAAGGATTTAAACCACGTATTCCCGGCCTTATGTTTTGACCGGGCCTAATTGGTACTGCTCGTCCTGCAACTCCACCTACAAAAGAAGATTGGATAAAGATTAAAAGATACAAGAAATAATTGTATAGGTGTACAAACAAAGTCAACTGAAGAACCTACCTGGACGAACCCATGGTCTCATATTGGCAGTTGTTTGCATTCGACCTCCTGGAGTACGATTTAATATTGGCCTAATTCCAGGCCTTACAGCACCTGGCGCAGCTCGAGGGGTTATGGTGATGTTGGGATTGTTTCGTAAAGGATGAATTCCACTAGATAGCTTCATATTTCCCTTATTGACCACACCAACATTAACACCTGAGACAAAAGGTAAATGAAATTCAAATTTACAACAGAATAAGAATATTTGATCCAGGCAACAAAAGCATTGTCTGAATATGATTTAAAACAAACCTTTTTTAAGGTCTTCCTTGTCTGCAGCAAATGGCTTGTTTCCTTCTGTTTTGTTATTACCCCCTAAAGCACTTTTAAATGCAGTGCGAATTGCAATGATTTTGCCATTCTCTAATTGCATGTAAATACCCTTTGGACTCTTCAATACCATAACTCTTTGGCCAGCCTTCAGAACAATGGAAGACCTCTCTGGAGAATTGGTAGGGATGACAACATCTGCAAGATCAATTTCAAAATAAGATTCAATGCAAAGTTTTGGGTTTTTGTTGAAACACACAACTTAATAGATTGAAATTTACCCAAAGGCAAAGTCATTTCTTGAGCAGACATGCCCTGTCGCTGCCAAACTTCAGCAGGAATCCACTTAGTATTTCTATTCCCTGTGCCAAGACCAGAATTCATCTCAGATTGTATGGGTCGTACACTGGCAATGGGTTTTATGATGTTGCCAGCAGCATCACGTTGCACAGGTCTGAAGAACAAAAGACAGAGTAAAACATCCAAGTATTGGGGTTCGGGCGGCTTGGGGGCGCCATCAAGCCCGGGTCCAACATTGAAGTAAATTTTTTAAATAACAGAAAAGGACACAGTGAACTTTGTTTCATCTCAAGTTTAGAATGATACCTTATTTGCAGACCGCCCTGATTGGCATTGTAATAGTTGTAGACAGGACGGTTGTTGGCTCGTTTTTCCATCTCATAGCTCCGCTTGGCCAGCCTTTTCTCTGCCTGAGACAATTTCTTATCCTTTCTATCAACCAAGAGTGATTCGTGTTGGAAGGGTGCCTGAAATTAAACAAAACTTTGAAAATTAATTTTTTGAACTCAGCAGAATTACTGATCATCGCTGCATCTAAAAATACAGCACTGAAATAAAATCAATTGAAAGTCATGATATACCTTCGTTAACAGTTTTCCATGTTTCTCTACTATCTTTTGCATTGCTGTGTCAGTATAGTTATCTTTCTCGCTGCTAAGATCCTTTATCTCAGATTCCTTTTCTTCATCCCAACATAAATTAGTTACCTGTGATTTTTAACAAAGGGGATAAAAGTAAGATACATGATAGTTCAAAACAGGGTGATAAAGTTTCATCAAATAGCAGTCTCACCTCTTTGATGGAAAGATGAGCATCTGGATTGCATTCATCGACAACTCTGTCTGACATACCCTGCTTGTTGATCTGTCTGTCATAAATCTTTTTCTCCAGGCAGTTGTCCATCACAAAGCGATAAACATAGCAAGGTTTCTTCTGTCCATACCTATACACTCGACATACTGCCTGGGTATCATGACATGGGTTCCAAGATGCATCAAATACAATTACTCTGTTGGCACCCACCAAATTGATTCCCAAGGAACCAGCACGCGTCGACACCAAAAATAAGAACACATTGGGATTTGCATTAAATTCGTTTATAAGCTTCTCTCTCTCTAATGCAGCTGTACTTCCATCAAGGCGGAAGTAAGTACGGTTACGCTGCCATCTTTCGTAAACCCCAGGAACGGGTATAAATGATCGCTGTAGGTAATCTTCAATCAGCGATAGAGTAAACAGGGATTGAGAGAATAGGAGAATGCGATCGCCGAGAGCGAGTGCCTCTTCCAATATACAGAGGAAAAGAACCATTTTAGCAGAATTCTCCACAAGGCCAGGCACATAGTCCTTCATCAGTTCTACTGCCCAGTCATATGGGATTCCAGGGTCTTCTTTACCAGATGGTTTGATTATGGCTGTAGGTTCAACAAGTGGTTTTCCTTCAGCACCCAACGCACCCTCTTCCTCATCTTCCTTTCCCTCTTTGTCTTTGATGTCATCTTGTCCTTCCTTATCCTTATCAACAATCTCCATGGAGTCGACTCTCCATGAGTCTCCTTCATCAGCTGCTTTGGTATCTTGATCAGTTTGGTTGCTTGCACCACTTTTGCTACTTAAACCTAGTTCATCATCTTTAACAATTGGCTTTTCCTCTAACTTAACATCTCCCATATCATTCTTCAATTGGTCAAGAGGAGAAGGGCCTGGGCTGAACTTCTCATTTTCGGACTTCTTCAATCCAGAATTCTGTAAAGGCTTCATATCCTGGCTGTTTATGATGTTAAAATCTTGAGGATGACCATGGGAATTTCCCCAGGGATCAAACATGTTGCGATCCTTAACATCATACATGCCTCTTCCTGGATCCATCTTTGAAAGTGAAGCATCAAAAGCTCTAAAGTCATCGGAGGAATGAAGGAGATCTTCCGCTGAAGGGGCATCAGTAGATGACATACCAGATAATGCCATAGACCCTGTCTGGGTTTGGTTTGGAGGGTTGCTAGGTAAGTTCATTATGTTGGGGTTTTGGTAAACACCTGATGACATTCCCATGCTCTGTGGATTATGGCCCATCATATTTTCATTCATTCCACTCATGCCAGGCGCTGCATTTCCCATCCCAGCGCCCATGCCAGAACCCATCATGCCTGAGGGCATCATGGCAGGATTTTTGGTGGGTGCACCACCAGGAAGCATTCCTGATGCATTCACAGGACTTTGCTGTGGAATGAGGTTTGGGTTCAAATTGGGGTTCGGGCGGCTTGGGGGCGCCATCAAGCCCGGGTCCAACATTTGCTGATCCATTAGCCCAAATTGCTGGGTTGAACTGCTGCTGGAACTCGCCGAGCCGCTTCCATACATGCTTTGGTTGAAGGAAGAAGAGGAACCGCTGGAGCCATATCCCTGGAACGGCGCGCCTTGCGAGCCTTGGCTCTGGCCACTGCCACTGTAGCTTGATCCAGGGAAAGCCTGGCTGCCGGACGGGCCCTGATTGAATGAGTTATAACTGCTGTTGCCGCTCCAGCTTTGGTTGTAGTTGGACCCTGGAGGGAAGCTGTCTGTCATGGAATGCTGGCCAGAAGGACCGTTGCCGCCGAAGTATGGAGGTCCCATGCTCCCATACGCTGAGGTGCTTGAGGAGGACGGGTTGTTTGAGGAAGATCCACTAAACATGGATTGGCTCGATGACGAGCCGTACTGACTGCTTTGGGACGCTGGTGAGCTGGCGAGGGAATCACCATAACCACTGGATCCCGAACCACTGAAGGACCCTTGGCCAGTAGCATTCAAGCCTAAGCTGCTGGAGCTAGCATTGAATGCGCCAGACGGCCCAGAGTAACCAGCATGTCCATAAGAGCTGCTTGGGTTGTAATGATGAGCATTGAATGAGCCGTATGGTGACTGCCCAGAACCACTATAAGGGTTGTACGATCCCATCATTGAAGAATTGGAGTTCATCTGCCCATGCATGGGATACTGGCTTGATAAGTTGTAAGGATTACTATGATCACTATGACTTGAAGTGTTTGGCAACACAGTTGCAGCTGGTTTAGTTGGAGAAACTTCTTTCTTTTTCCTGTTTTTATTGGTACTACCGCGTGGTCGTCCTTTGGTGGCAGCTTTTCGTTCTTCAATAGGTGTGCCAGTGGGATCGGTGACTGTGTTAGCTGCAAGAGCAGCAGCTGCTTCCTCCAGGTCAAGATCAACTCCCTCTCCGCCCTCCCGCTTTTTCAAGAATTGATACAACACGTCAGGGTGATTCCAGATCTGTTCAAGAACAAAGAACACGTGAATTTCCAATCAGGTATGATAAAATAAATGAACAAAACAATCTCAGCACACCAACCTTGCAACAAACTGCAAATGCTTTCAATGGGTTCGGAACAGCTTTGGTTCGAACCACTTCATTCATGAAAGTGTCATAAAGTTTACGTTGGAATGGAGTAAGACGGACCAGGAGAACATATTCCTCCTTTTGAGGCAATGCATTTGTTAAGACTGAATGTGAGCGTCGCTGCACAAAACCCTCCAGCAGAGAGTGCAAAACATGAGCGCGATATCTCATTAAGCGAATATCTTGAGGAGTACTATCTATACACTGTCCGTTCTGAATGGGACGCTCAAACATATTGCAAAATTCAGTCTTGGTTCCAAGATAGTTGGGGCGAACAAAGTCCACCATACACCTGGAAGAAGATGGTATTGCAAAGTGATAAAACTGTTTCTAAATAAATGCTGTATTAAAGGGTATTTTTAAAGGTTTGAATCTTTAGAGAAGTTTCAAAGTTCTATATTTAATTTTAAGTACTGACCAATATTCAAGAAGATTGTTCTGAAGTGGGTAACCAGTGAGAACAACTCTTCGTTTAGTCCTAATCTGTTTCAGGGCCAAAGATATGGAGGCATGGCTATTTTTTATCCTGTGACCCTCATCACAAATTACAAGATCAGGGCCTGGCTTCACCAGCGCCTCAAATACTTCTGCAAAAGGATCAAAAACATAAAAGTAAGTAAGATGCTACAGCCCACATTTAACATGTGCATAGTTACTTTCAAAGAACTTACTTTCCAACATTTCCTTTTGGCGTTTTTCTTCCTCCTCAGGATCAAGTTCTTCATCATCAGATATGGGTCTCTTCCTCCTACTCTTTTTAGGTTTAGACATTTTCTTTAAACTGAGTTGACGGTACATTTCATATCCTATCAGGAGAACACCTCCATTTGTAGTCCAGTCATCTACCACCTGCACAAGTACAAGTAAAGTTGAAACAGATTCTTATAAGATTCACAAGATTTAAAAGATGTCAAAAAACTGATTTAATTTCTAACCTTTGCTCTTGCTTTAAGCGTTTTGTGAGAATCATTTAAAACAAAAATACCAAATGTCCGAGGCCGCACTTCTCCTTGAACTGCCAGAGGAGTAGCCAGAGGGTCATCAGGCATCCACATATTAAATTCTGATAGCCAATTCTGCAGAGTATTGATAGGCATAATACACATAACTGTTTTGGCAGGAGTATGCCTCAGGAAAATATCACAAAACGTGATGACCTGAACAAAACAAAACAAAGACTTCAGTCAAAAAGTGAGCCACGCACCCCCCAAAAAGAGGAAAAGAAGAAAACATGACAAACAAAGCAAAATTATTAATGAATGAACAAATTCTAACTTGTAGAGTGCCTTTTGACTAACCTGCAATGTTTTGCCTAAGCCCATGGAATGTGCCAATATACAACCAAAACCAGTGGATGTACTAAATCTTTCAATCGATTCTACAACGTTATCATACAAAAATCTTATTCCTCCAATCTGAAACAAAAATTAAATAAATAAATATATATAACAGTCCACACTAGACAGTGTCAGAGATGTTTAAATCAAATCAGGCACAGATAATAAAAAAATTTAATTTACCTGATGAGGTTTTATGAGCCGTGCTATGTGGGGAGCCAGGAAAATGTCAGGATCACCCTCTGGCTTTCCCATATTAACTTGTACTCTGCCTTCGTCATCTGGCACATTAAAAGAATCATTGGTATGCATCCCTGAATTTGTTGGGTCTTCTCCCTCTTCTTCCTCTCCATCATCAGAGGGTTCTGACAAAACAATGCAGTCATCTTCTGAAGAACTGCTGCTGCTTATCGTGACCACATCTGAAAGAACGCAATAGGTTGAAATCCACTCACAGGAGAACTAAGGGTGCCACACAAACTGTGAAATATATAGTATGAACAAACCTTTTTTCTTCTTTTTTCCTTCTTCATCAACTTCTCCCTCTCCCTCTTCTAGCTCCCCGTCCTCCAAGATTTCCTCCTCCTCTTCTTCTTCTTCACCTTCTGAAGCACTGTATGAAGCTTGAGCTTGAATAAAGGATGGTTGCTTCACTGCTGAAGCAGGTCTCTGACCACTTCCACTAGGTCGCACAGGTGCAATGGAGACTGATGGGGTCATCATGGTAGTGCCTTGGATAGGTTTAGATATCAAAGTTTTTGTAACAGAAGGTTTCATATCATCTTGAGAGTCCTTTGGCACTTTTAAAAGTTCTAGCACCTGAAAAAGGGAGAGATGAAACCAAATTATTTTTAAAAACTAAGCTGTCCTTGAGATGAAAGTTAGGGCTTCGGAGGCCATGAAAACAACTTATATTTTCCTGAATAACACACCTTCTTGTTTGATTGCGCTGTAGCTCCTGAGCCAACCTTCACAACAACTGTGTTAGGGGACGTGGCGGATGTACCACTTTTACTGGCCTGAGCTGGTCCAACAGACACTTGCTTCAGAAGAGAAGTTTTTCCTTGTAAAAGAGACATGACCCTGTCAGCTCTTTGCTGCTGTTGTCTTTGAATTGCCATCTGAAATAAATTGTGACACAATTGTGGTTATTGATTATTGTTCTTGCCAAGTATTTAAAGTACAATCTCAAACCAATTTATTATTATTATTGAGATACTAACCTCTCTTAATACTCTTTGCTGTTCTTGCACCCTCCGCAATCGCTCCATTTCTTGCCTCTGTGCAGCCAAGGTAGCTTCATCAAGTTGTGTCTCATCCATAACATCACGAATATTTCGGCGCATGTTAGATGATTTCTTTCCCTCTTTCTCCCCTCCACTGCCACTGGAAATCAAAAACAATTTAGATACACCAGAAGCAACATTTGAACGATAAACAAAAGCAGTGCTACTCACTCATCATCATCATCTTTCTTTTTTGATTTCTTGCCAGGTTTCTTTTTCTTTTTCTTCTTCTTCTTTTTACCAGATCCATCATCTTCACTTTCAGTCTCCTCTGATGTTTCGCCATCTTCTGAAATTAATAAAGGACACATGCAATCAGATGCAATCTTCAAATACAGTAGATGTCTCAGAATGTTCACATGATAAGTAACCAACAAAAGGGCAGTGCAACCTAGAAACAGTATTACCTCCTTTTTTCTTTCTTTTCTTGCGCTTCTTTTTTCTTTCTTCCTCACTTTCATCTGTATCTTCCTCAACAAGGACTTTTCTCTTCTGCCTCGACCTTAGTTTTTTCTTGACATCATCCTTTGTCTCATTCCCTTCATCATCACCTTCTTCTTCTGGTTTCTTACTAGATGTATCCTCTGGTTCAGATTTAATTGATTTCATGCCACTGTTTTCATTTCTTTCATCTTCATCTTCATAATTTCCCTCGGCCAAATCATCTCCTTCATCAAAATCATCACCACTCTCACCAGCTGCATAATCACCATCCTCCATGGCACCATTAACATCTTCATCCATGCCCTCATCCTCGTCAGGTGCCTCCTGTTTAACATCAGATGGGCTGACATTTGCTTTTCTCTTTTTCTTTCGGATTGGTTCGTTACCTAAATCATCTTCATTTTCTTGTGGTTCTTCTTTCAAAAAGTCTTCACCTGTCTTATCAAATGCCATTTCATTTTCATCTTCGTCCTCAGCTTGGGCCATTTCAAGAAACTGTGATGCATCCATGGGCCCTTCATCGTCATCAACGTCACCTTCTTCATCCACTTGTTCGCCCTCAAATTCCTCCCGTCCTGCCTCATAATTTTCATTCTCAATCGTTTCGGCTTTGGGTTCCACAGCAGGTTCAGCTTCTTCTGAGGATTTCTGATCTTCAATGACAGCCACTTCATTCTGGATACCATCTTTTTTCTCTGAGGCATCATCACTTTTCTCTGATGCCTCCATTCCATTTTCAGCTTCATTAGAAGGCTTTTCAGCCTTGACAATCTGATCTGGAGATGCAGCCTTTGGAGACTTCACTGTTTCATTTTCAACAAGTTCATCTTTGGGGGAAACTGCAACAAGAAAATTCAAATATCATAAAATTTAAAAACCCATCTTTTTCAAAATAAAAAATATGCTAAAACAAACACACAATAAAAGAAAAAATATAATAAAAAGTAGCCCTACCAGGCAAGTTTTCCATGGTGGCCGCACTTCCTTCAGAGGGAAGTTCATCTTTTGGCTCCTCGGACGAGTTATTTCGGGAGGACACCCTCTGAATGGTTACATCTCCAATACGAGATGGTACAAATGGATCCATGGTATGAAAATATTTATACTGAGACTTTAGGCAGGGGTCCCGAAAGGTGACCAACACTGCCACAACTCCAAAGGACCCATACTAATTTTCACATGACCTGTAACACAACACATTGCAACATTGAGTCCACATACTACTTGCTCATATTATGAGTAAAATCCTACACAGTAAACAAACGTTGTGAAAGAAAAACAACTAGTCCTAAGAGTGACATTCTGAGCAAAAACTGATATTATTTCAAATATTGGCTGGATAAGAATGAACACATTGCAGATAGAACAGACAATATAGAGATTCCTTAGCCATTAAGGGTGAAAAAAACCTGCAATGTAAGTAAGAAATGGACTAAACAAGTCGTACTACAGAGCATTCTGTGATTTAATTTTAAGGTTGGTCCCCCAAAACTTGAAATTACCGCCCTAAAAACAAACATGGCACGCCCGAAACCATAATAACCCAGATAAAAATCATAACCAAACGATAATTCCAATGAAAACATTGAAACGAACGCAAAAGAAATCCAGAAACTAGGTGATGAATACCCAGAGGAGCAAGTCAGTCAAAAGAAGAATACCGATGTAAGCAGATCGGCAGGTTAGCTCTAGTCAGGAGAGAGGCGAAATAAAATAAAGTCAATTTTCTTCCGTTTCACATTATTGAATGCCCACAAGTCGCAAAAGTCGGCGGAACAAACAGCAGAGCTAAAAAGAGCCCCCAGGGAACAGTGCGTCGCGTTGATAGGCCTACCCGGTGTGCTTAGACTCGGACTCGCAGTTACGCCTCTCTTCCAGTCCTCACGGCGCAGCCAGGGACGCGGGTCGCGTCAAACACCAACTCCGAGTCACGCACACACCACCCCACGCACGCATAAACCCAATTTCTAACCAAAGAAACAACATAAGACTAAATGCATCACAAATAAGTGTCGACTTCTGCCTAAATTTTTTCACACTGTCACCAACATTGCGGACCTCCGAAAAACAATCAAAACGTCACTATCGGCAGACGTTTCCTCGTCTACCAGGGGCTCTCTAAAAAAGAGCGGCCATCAACTTTGAAGATAACAGCGAGCAACCTACTCGAAATTGACGTAAACTCAACAAAACGCCGAGCACTTGCGGCGGGGACTAGTCTTATTTATGAGTTCGCGGGGTTGGCAGCCGTGCGCCTTCTCGCTGCGCGATCTTTCCGTCTCTCTCGCACTCGTTACTTCAGGCCCGGCCCCGGCCGCGACCCCACTTCCCCGTCGGCGAGCTCCCTTCCTCTCTTCCTCTCGCGGCCCAAGCGGCGCACGGAGTGCCGTCCTTTCACCTCACCCCGTCCCTCTCTCCCTGTCTCTCTCTGGCCGCGTAGCCGCGTAGCCCCGTCCAGGACGCCGTCCTCATCGACCAATCGAAGCGCGGAGACCTCGCGGCGGACTCGGAATAATTGAACGCGGGGCAATTGGCGAGTGAGGCGTGAGGACCGCGAGGACGCCGTGAAGGCAGGGCCGGCAGAGGTCTCCGCAGGGAAAGTCCTTAGCCCACGCACACACAGAGGCCGGGCCGGGCCGGGCGACCGCCCCGTCACCCCTCAAGGCCGCGCCGCCACCGAGTACCTGTGCCTTTCCTACTTCCGGCTCCCGTTTCAAGACGGGAATTCGGCCTGGGCGGGGAAGGGGGCGAATCTCGGGTGGCGAACCGATCCAGCGCTCCATGGGTGCGAGAGGGACAGCGAGACGAAGCACTGTTCGGAATCATCCTGCAAGTCCCTTGATTAAGGACTCGGCTCCTTCATTTCTCGGGCCGCGTTTCCCGGAGCACGCTGAGGGCCGGCGGGGAAGGACAGGAAGGGGAGAAAGGCGGAGAAAGGGGTTGGGGCTCATCGTGGAGGTCAGCATTGACGCGCAGAGGTGAGTCCAGTCCGAGGCCCGACGGGCCCGACGCCGGGGCCCCGCCCAGTCCGGTCCTCCCCGCGATGAGGGGAGGGGGAGGGGAGCATCCCCAGCCTGCCCCGTCCAGCAGAGCACAGCCTTCCGCGGTACGGCGGTACTGCGCGGCTCAATCAATCAACCCCCAGCCGCCGCGCCCCGCCGCGCCCCGCCGCGCTGCCCAGCCCCTTCCGCGCCGCCCCGCCGCGCGACGCCACACCGCGCTACTCCGCGTTCGCTGGGTGACGCTTTGTATTGATCGTGGCACAGCGTGCCTGCCAGGGCTTGGCCGGGCGGCTGGGCCGGGCATAGCTGGGCGTAGCCACGGCGTAGCGCAGGGGGTGGGCGGCCCGGCGGGCCTGGCTGCGCGAAGTGCGTGCTGGCGGTGCTGGCGGTGGCCGGGTGCGGGTGGGCCGGCCTGCCCTCCGCGGCCAAAGAGCTCGCGGCGCTGCCGGCGCTGCCGGCCGGCGCAGAGCGGCGCAGAGGCCCTCCCAGCCGCTGGAGCTACAGCAAGCCGGAGACAGAGGGTGGGTTGCGGGTGGCGGGTGCGGGTGAGCCGCTGAGAGAAAGCCCGAGAAGGGAAAAAAGGGAAAGGGGGGGGGGATGACGCGGAGACACACGACTGGTCGGCGCACGAGGCACTCCGCTCGCTCTCCGGGCGAGGGGAGGGCAGGGGTGGGGCCACTTCCAAAGTTGTGTAGTGCAACGCGCAGTCGACACGAGTTGACGAGGTCGGGGAGGTGAACTAGGAAGGCGGAAAACGCCTCGACCGCACCGTGCTTTCTTCGCTCTCTCGCTCCCATAGGGCCTCCAGCATGGGTGCGAGAGAGACAGCGACAAAACGCGGCTTGGAACAGGCCTACAGTGCAGGCGCCCACCCCGCACCACGCCGATCATTCCTCCCGGGCAGGCCGTGGGGCCACCCATCGTTTCGTCGCTCGGTCTCTCTCGCACTTATACGGGACGACCAATGGAGGGCGAGAGCTCTCGCAGACAGCGACCTTCTGGCAAGGGGTGCCTAGGAAGGGTGAAGGGTAGACACGGCATCCGGCGGCGTGCCCCGTGGGCCCCGTGCCCTTGTACTTGTTGAATGGGCGGTGACCGTGTGACGGCGGCCGAGGGCTGCTGGACACAGCGGACACACACGCGCCACTCTCAACGGACTGATCGGTACCCAGGACGCTGCAGCGGGACACTCAGGATCGCCGGCGCCGGCGACATGGTGGCATAGCAGCGTACGGCCCGAGAGGCGCTACTCGCGCTGCAGACAGATTCCGAGAGACCATTTCGTCCCTCTGTCTCTCTCGCACTCGTGGGGTGTCCCGCATAGTGCGAGAGAGACAGCGATGAAAACGACTCTCGGAATCAGTCAGCTTGCCAGCCGGCTAGCCCATTCATGGGGCCTATCCGTATCCGAAACAGCCTGGCAGCAGCAGAGCCGTGCACGCCAGAGCCAGCGTGCCGTCCTGGAGTCCTGGAGGCCGGTGCGGTGATTTGCGCCCCACCCTTTCCTACGTCGGCGACGCCAGCAGCGCCAGCAGCACGGCACATCGGCCACCCCGCGCGGTGCTTCGCGCGGAGCGGAGGGCCTATTCCAAATGCCGGCCACGTTTGGGACCCGCCCCCGCCCCCGGCCCCGCCCTTGCCCTACCCCTTGCTCGGGGCCCAGCAGACTGATTCCGAGAGTCGTTTTCGCCGCTCTGTCTCTCCCGCACTCATGGGGCGTCCCCTACAGCCGTCTGATTCCGAACACTGCTTCGTCGCTCTGTCTCTCTCGCACCCCTACGGACCGCCCCACGAGTGCGAGAGAGACAGAGCGACGAAAGCAGTGCTCGGAATCAGACGGCAGGTGCGGGCGAGACAGGGAGACGGAAACGACTCTCTGAATCCGGCAGGCTGCAGCTCGCAGCCAGGGCCCTGTGCCACACACTGTGCCACACGGCCACACGGGGATAAAGGAACCGCGCTCAAAGGTGGAAGGTCCTCCAACAACAGCAAACGCCCTGGTTTCTTTTCCCACCCCCACCAATCAAGCCTCCTCGTGTCTTTGGAGCCAGTTTCATTTGGGGTTTCAGTGACTTTCTTGAGAGAGACAGATATTGTAGGCGTGATTGAGATATGTCGTTACCTCTCTGATCCCATCATCACAAATAATGCAAGTGCAAAGCTATATTAAATAAAAAGAGAACCATTTCCCACAGCAACCAAAATACTAAAAAACAACATAAAACATTTACAAACTTAAAGTTCCCCCACACTTCACTACAATACACCACCAATAGGGTTCATTTAAACAGTATTATTATAAGATAACGAGTGATGGTACTAGTAAATGAGAGCAGATTCCGAGACAAATGTAGAAATTAAAAACTATTTGGCAAACACTGGGAGAAAATTAAGTGAGTGAAATTAGAAATGGCAGATGGTCACACTCAGGATGCCTCCCATAATTAGGTGCCAATTAAGAAAAAATATATTAGTTAGTAATGAAAGCCAGTAAAATTCCATCTATGAGCCATTTCCATGGAGATTTAATTCAAGAAAAAATATTCTATGAAGAAAGTATTTGTCAACACTTCAAAACAGGAACATATATGCAAAACAATGTCAAGTTCTGTTGACAAACATAACCTGAATGATAGAAGTTCCGAGTGCTATTCAACGAAACATTTCGAAATTAAGTTTCTCGATGATAGATTCAGTTCACCACGTCCAGATCGCCACTAATCCGAGACAAGAGCACTACGAATAATTATACAAAGCTAGTACTATTTTAGGTCACTTTAACCTACAAGAGACGAATAGGTTGCAGGTAATGACAAAGAAGAAAAGATAGCGAAAACTAGAGCTGAAATAACAGGGAAAACGTCAGCGGTGTTGGCAGAGACAGTTTGAGGGGCAAGCTTCTCCGCCTAAACCGCAAAATCACAAGGATACAAAATGCGTACCGTGAAATACTCCGACAAGACGACAATCCCGATTCGATTGCTTCTGGCTCCTGGAATAGTCCGCAAGAAACTGTCCACAGATTCGGCTTTGACAGCCTCAATATGAAAATGTCTAAACACCACAGCAATTGACGAGATTCCTAGTCAATCTTTGCCATTGTTTAGGTTTCGTTGAAAACTCATAACATTCCTTCGCGGATCATGAGATAGGTCCGCTGCCCTTTTCTCTCCCTCCTGCTTTTCTGCCTCACTCGTCGGGCGAGGTGCGGGCACGCCGCTCCGGGGAGGAATAGGACGTCGCCAGGTCTCTGCCCTCAGGAGTCTCTCGAGCGCGGAGTAGCGCCGCCCAGCCAGAACCGGCAAGAACGCGAACAGAGTGCTGATAGCGCTTTTTGAAGTCGTCGGGGCATAAAGGAGGAGAAATGGAACATAGTAATTTTCACAGGCTTTATTCGTTTTTTAGGAAGAGGGTCTGGACGTTTGTAAACACAGTCCACCACTTCTCCTCCTCGAAAGTCGCTAGTCCTCACAGGATCCTCATAAGGACTACTTTGGAGCTGACATATAGCAGAGGTTTGCCAAATACATGTTACATTTGAAATCCTTGCCATGATACGCCTCACATATCAGACTCAAACACAGTCAGTTTTCAGCTAATTGAGACATTAGTTCTTACACGAACATCATACAAGCAAACCAACATACTTGACGGTAAAATAAGCTGAGACAAGCACAGTCCTTAGAAAGTAAACTTACATTCATGAGAGCTTAAGTCAATCACAGCCAGATGCTTTGTAATCTGTGTAAAACCAATTTTTTGTCGAGCTCCAACATTTTACAAAACAGTCGAAAAATTCAAAAGTCGATCACTTACATAAAATACAAAATTCAAAAACCCATCATCACAAATGAAATTTTTTTTCATGATTATAGAGTTTATTCTTAGAAAAAAAAAGGCATACTAATAACTTTTTACTGGCCAGTATTTCCTAGACCAATTTTAAATTATGACTTGCCATAAAGGCATTATAATACATAACTAAACAGTATAAATTACCATTGACATTGAATGAAAAACAAAGTGGTTACTTTATAAATTGATATGCTCATTCGGCAAACATGAAAGCAATTTTTCAACAGTAGGACTTCAGGTAAAATAATATCTGTGTTAATAAACAATGCGACAATGCTTAATAAGGCACATAGAACAGAGACAGCCACAAAATTAAAAACACAAGCAAGTATTTTAAATCATAGAGGGTGGCATAACCAGAAAGTGGCAACATCCCATTTGCAGGAGTATGGTACCCACCGGGCACATACCACACCACACCCAACTAGTTAAATTACATTTTGAAAAGCTTATCTGAAAATGAATACTACAGAAATACCACACTGAACTCGAGAAAAAGAAACAAAGTGAAAATACATTGCCTGTTTGCCGAACAGATTGTTATTTCCTGAGAGGTAGACAAGAAGAACAGGTCATGACTTAACAGCTAGAAAGAAGTAGTCAAATAGATTCGATTGGCAAAACAGGCAGATAGATTAGTATCTAATAGCACCATACATAATTAGAAAATTTGTTTGATTAAATTTTACATTAAAAACAAATAAAATAGAACTTTACCAAAGACATTTCAAAATTTGTTCACAAACCTTCTGATGATAAAGCACTTAACACCGGCACCAATATTTTGCATAATTAATTTCCAGAACTTAAAAAGATATCTAAAAGAAAAAACTTCTTATCGTCTTGAGCTGGCAGAGCCAATGGATCGATTGAAAATGGCATTTGATATTGCTATCACAGGAGAAAACAGTTGTAATGGAAAAGTACTGAAACAGCAGAAACAGAATGCAGTCTTAGTTTTCTTATCAAAGATGAGCACACTTTTTTTCAGTGAACAATTTTCTTTTGGTTGAAGTGGCAATACATACCATGCTCCTGTTTCTGGTGAAGCCTCATTTCCACTTATAATAAAGAGAGGAAACAGAATTGAAAACACGCATCCACTGTAAATTTATAAAAACTCAATTAGAATGACAGCTACAAATTCTGGGAGTAGAGCAAACTCATGACATTTACCTCACAAAATATGAATTAGCTAGATTCGTGAGAACTGTTAGAGGCAGACCAAATCCAATAAAGTAGGGCCAGTTGGATTCGATAAATGTCAAGCGATGATGCAGCTCCCAACCCATGTTGATCCATTTGTATTCAAAAGAATACAAAGAGTAGAGGAGGCAAGTGTGCAGCAATGCAAATGCTTTCCCAAGAACGGCCAATGGTAGAAGACTGACCAGATAGCTCTGTTTGGAGAGCAGAAAGAGTGAAGAAATTACTAACAATGCAGAACAAAAATTAGTAGGTACAGAAACTGCAGTTGGAGAAATTTGATTTGTACCTGAATAAGAAACAAAGTTTGAACAAGAATACTGAATAAAAAGTCAGCTATTAATTTGCTAAAGTTACTTAGCATAACTGGTCTTCCACGGCTGTACCGATACGCTGAATTGGCAATATCCTGCAAATATAGATCAACAGATGATGGGCACCAGAGGATTATAGAATACTCAAACTGTTATGAGGAAATGACACAATACAAACCTGGAACCACAGATTATTGATGAATTTACTTAGTAGGAACAAAGGGACCACCCAAATGGCACCAAATATACAGGACAATGCAGGCTGCAACCACGACCAAACCAACTGGCCAGTTCCTGACTCAGATCCAAACAAGAGAGTGAGCAGCATGCTTAGGGTTGGTAAAAGTCCATACTCAAATAAAAACATGCTCAGCCAGAACAGGCCACCATTCAGACCACAGCACTGCATCATTCTTTTTATCACACTTGGTTGTCTGTAAAATGAAAGATAAGATGATTTTTTGCTGAAAGTTTGGCATGATGGCAAATTTTAAAAAAAATAAGCAAATTTATTAAAGGATTTTGGAAAGGTTTAACAGGAAATGCACACTTGTGTACTTGGCTAAAGGAAAATAATTTCATTTTTCTAAAGGGCTATTCCAAACTCGAACAGACAAATTGAACACCATACCAGTACACTTATTATTTTATTATTATTTAGGGCAAGCCAACTTACTGAGTATCTCGGTGTCTTCGAGGAGTATGTTGTCTTAGTTGATTTTCTCTCTCCTGAATATTTTTATCTAGGGTAAATAGAACTGTGGCTCCTTGCAGGCTATCACGCAGCCCCCTTGTGGTGGCATGTAAGATTGGCTGTAAAAAAATCCCAAAGACTCAGGTAAATTGCTTGACAAAAGAAAACCACTTGGTCCACCATGTCTTGAAGGAATTTGGACCACTTGAGGCAGGCAATACGTAGTTTAATGAAAATAGGAAGAGCTCCAGCAATAAAATTGGTTCAGTGTGATTGATTGGTGGCTTTCAACGGAGTTTTAAGACGTTTTAAGATCCCAAACAAAAGAACCTTAACCTAGAGTTTTGTTTATAATACTTACGTATATGGAGTCCATTGTACTATGTACATATATACGAGCTATAAAATGTCAAGAGAGCGTTTATGAAGTATAAAAGAGCACAAATAAAATGTTGTTACGGCCAGACATGGGGTTCATCAGACAAATAACAGTAGAGTCTGTTGTTGTTGACCTTTGTCGCCGTCACTGTCGTCAGCTGTTTACGTCGACTCGTCGACTTCTGCGCAGTAGAGATTTGGTTCGAGCTCTCGAAAGGGACTGTCGAGGCTCTCTAACTCGACTGTACTGGCGGGAAATGAAGTTAGGGAAGCCCAAGCACAGGCCAAACGCTCGCTGAGGGACGCAGTTTTCAAAATTTATATCAAGAAATGTCGGCCATGCCTAATCACGCGTAACCGACTTCGTCAATGGCAGAGAGATGTAAAGTTTATGCTGACGCAACACAGAGAACCACACGAATTTTCTGACCGCCGCTCCACTTGTCGTCACTCGTCCATGCAAAAGTAATTCTGATCTCGTTTTCTCGGTCGTCTCGGATATTTCATCTTGCACGTTGCGGGCGTGCCGGCGCGTGCCCCAGCAGATTGTGCAGCGTACAGGGGCTTAACTCCGCAACTGCACAAGCTCTGCAGGGCACGGCACGGTGCGGCACGGCACGGCACGGCGGGGCGCGGCACGGCATGGCGAGGCACGGCACGGCGTGACCGCATGGAGCGTGCTGCCGTGCTGCAGCCAGTGGCGCTCCTCGTCTTATCTGCGCATGACAAATCACCTCTATCTGACACCGCATCCGGCCAGCACGACTCCGGCCATCACCCCGTACCCTGCACCCCCTGCAGCCCCTCCAACCCCCACCACACACCGCCCCCCACACCCACTACACGCCCTACACCGCGCCACAGGCAGCCACGACCTGCTTGCCGCCGTCGAATCGGGGGAAAACGAAAACAACAACAGCAAGACGTCACAAGAGTCTGTCGAGGGATTACCAAACGTCACGAGACGAGGGCGGTGGTGGCGGTTGGTGGTTGGTCGTTTCACGCAACATTTTACCCTTTATAGAACTTACGAAAATTGGTTTGTTACCACCGCTAAGCCAGTGGAAGCTGTTTGTTCGTGAAGGGAGAGACTTAAGTCGCTGAGAGTGTGGAGTGAAGCAAACTCTGCAGCAGCATAGTGACTGATTGATCCGCGTGTCCACGTATCCACGTGTTCGATGCACTTTCCAAGCTCCCCCAGCTAAATTGGTGACGTACAGTTGGGAGAGATTACAATCGGTGAGAGGTAAAAGAGGGGGGGGGGGCTTTGGGCAGAGGCCCCAGTAGGTGGACGCTCTAGCTCGTATGAGCGCAGCAAATAAATCCACAGACCGGTAATTGGTCGGCGAATGGATGGCGCCATCGGGTTTGGCCGCTAAATTGCGTTAAGTTACGACGCGAGGCCAGGGAGGCCCAGATTCCCCCCTCTTCTCTCTCTCCTGCTGCTTCCCCCCTCTCTCTCTATCTCTCTATCACTCCTTTCGACCCCATTCTCCAACCTATCTCTCTCACCACTATTCTCTCTCTGTACCACGCGTGCGTGTATGCGTCTCTCTCTCTCTCTCTCTCTCTCTCTCTCTCTCTCTGAAAAGAAAAAGAGGAAAAAGAAGCGATCTGTGATGACGTCTGACTGACCCCGCCGCAGTGTCACGCTCCGTGACGCCGCCGCCTGCCACCAGCCGGGTAGGCAACCGTCTCCACGCCGGAGCGCGCCAACCCTGCTGACGCCAGGCTGACGCCTACCCCGCGGGCGGTTCACCGCAAAATGTGACTTCATCCTTTTTCAAACACGTTTCCTTATATTTTCATTGTTCTATTCTGTTCCATTCTTTTCCATTCCATTCCGGTAAAATGGAAAAATGCCACAAGTGGACGCGAATGCGGTTTTCTACGAAACTCGTCCGTCCAAAACGATAGGGTTTGCGTGCTGGCTGACGTGATCCGCTCGCAATATCGGTTCGTAGTTTTTTCCGGGAACCCTCTGGAAGTCGCTTCTGTTTTTACTAAAGGCTGCCCGGGGAAACCAGGAACCGTTTCTGCCGTGCGGTTCCTCGCAGCGCGGGGTAGTGCCGCCGCTGCAGGGCCGTGCCGGCTGTGCAGTGCAGGCGGGGCAAGGTGCGGAAGGCTCCGCGACGCGCGGGGTAGTGCCGCCGCTGCAGGGCTGTGCCGGCTGTGCAGTGCAGGCGGGGCAAGGTGCGGAAGGCTCCGCGACGCGCGGGGTAGTGCCGCCGCGCGCCACCCCGTCGGTGCGGCGCGGTGCGGCGGGCGGCCTTCCCTCCGCCTGCCGCTGCTGCCGCCCAGTCGCTTGTGCGGCGCGGTTCCGGGCGGTCGAGATCGCACCATCACTCGCCGGTACGTGGGTTCCCTCACGCGAGAACGCGCGGCGTCGAGGAAGCGCGGATTACAGCCAACGAGGCAGGTGTTAAAGTGCCTGCGCGAGTTGTGGACATGTGACGACCGCGAGTGTTCGGATTGCGATGTAGGCACGAGTCACAAACGTGTCTGCGCGACTGTGTGTTTTATCGCGCGGAGGAGACCGCGGCTCACAAGCGCGTCAACCGGAAAGCAGCCGGGGATTACAAAACGACAGGTCGGTTCAAAATCCTGGCGCGAAATGTTTCAGTGGTGCAGACGACTGTTCACTTCCTTCGCCATTGCGATTTTCACGTCCCTTCCCTCGCATCCCGCACCTTTTCCTCCTGTTTTTTTCTTTTTTCGGTTGGCCGACCTGTCCCACTTCCCCTGTCCCACCTGCTCCTCAGCACTCCCGGCACTTCCTTCACTCCCGAGACCGTCCAGCCCCGCCCCGCCCCGCCCCCTCGCCGCCGTCCCGGGCCAGCAACCCTTTCGGTGCCCTAGGTCTAGCCCGGGGAGCGGGGACTGGCAGTCGCTAATAAGGAGATTAGGGCAGGGGCTTGCGCGCTGTGTGTACGGGGGCGGGGCGGGGCGGGGTGCGGGCGGCAACCTGTGCAGGGGCATCAACTCGGAAGGGACATGGGGCGCCTCGACCATTTACTCCGTCCTGCTGCCTCGAATATTGTCGCGTGGAAGGGATGCCCCGCCCCGCGCAGCCGGCGGCGGGTTCATTCATCGCAGATTAGGCTAATCCAAGGGCGTCTTTCGAACCCAGCAACAGGGCGGCTGCGCGCGAGGCGGGGCGAGGCGGGGCGAGGCGGGGCGCTCATTCTACCATCTCGATATGGCCCCAGTGCGGCCCGCCAGGCCCGCCGAACCCCTTCCGAGTTGATCTGACAGATAATGCGGCCAGCCACGGTGGAGAGAGAGAGAGAGAGAGAGAGAGAGAGAGAGAGAGAGAGAGAGAGAGAGAGAGAGAGAGAGAGAGAGAGAGAGAGAGACCCCGCAGCGCAGCAGTCGGGCGGGCGCGGCCGTAAAAACGAGTTTGCAGACGTTTGATGGACGACGCTAAAAAGCGCGCGGATCGGGCCGGGCGGCCGGGCGGCCTCCGCGGCCCTCCAAGCCTAGCCTGCCCTGCAGTGACGCGGTTGCCGCGAAAATAGAGCGGCCGCGCCGCCGGGCCGAAAGTCTAACGTCTTATGCGGGGCGGGACGCCGGGGACGCCGGATGGACAGAGATGTATGGAGAGGGGGTGGCGCGGGGTTGGCAGGGCCGGGGGACTGGATTGTCAAGGGAAACCTTAGAACTGAGAATCCTCTCGGGTCACAGCTCGCGCGGTGCGGGGCGGTGCGGGGCGGCGCCCAGGACGCCGAGGGGACAGAATGGGGTGAGATAGGGCGGGCAGGGCGCCGGGCAGGCCGGGCAAGCCAGCGGCCCAGGAGTGAAATGGACAGCTCAAAAGCGTCCCGTCCGCCCAAACTAAACAATGGAGGTGGCCGATGCCGATCCGAATGGCCGAGTGAACCTGCCCTGGCCCTGCCGCCCTGTTCTCCGTTCCACCGCCGCGCCGGGCCACCGCATTCCGCACTCATTTCGGTAGGGTTGCCGCCTACCGCCCATCCGTGGGCTGTAGGGTTGCCGCCTCCCGCCCGCCGGCCACCGCATGGGCTGTCGGGTTGCCACGCGGCATGGTAATCGGCGATCACTTGGCTGCCGGCGACTAGCCGCGACCACACTGTATGCATCCCCCTCTCCTCCTACCCCTCTCTTCTGCCCCCCTGCAGAGCTCCTTCTCTATGGCCTCCTTGCGCTGCGTAGGTAAGACACCGGGCGTCAGCAGAAGTGTGAAGCGAAGCCTCTGCAGGGAGCCGTACTCTACGGAGTACCCTGTTCGCTGCCGCGCTACCAACACACACTACGCTTTCCCACGCGCGCGCGCACACACACACACACACACACACACACACACACACACACACACACACACACACACTCCGCTTCCCACGCACACACTCGCGCGTGGCACGCGCCCTCGATGCACGCTTGTCTGTCGAGCAGTCTCCGGCGTGCACTGCGCATTATGTACCCCTCAACAAAGCAAACACTGCTGCACCGGGGCGAGGGCATGCTTGGCGTGGCGGGGCGTGGCGGGGCGGGGCGGTGCATCGGGGTGATGCAGCGGTGCAGCGCGGTGAAGGAGGATGCACCCTGCTGCCGCGGCCACCAAAGCAACTAATAATGGTTTCAAAACAACAACAACAACAACAACAACAACAACAACAACACCTGCGACTGCTGCGCATGCACCAGGCCGCACCAGGCACTCCTTGTCCTGACACGACGAAGTGTTGTTTCTGTTTTTCGTTTCTCTCTCCTTCTCGTTTATTTTTTTCGTGTCCTGCCGTGCTCCACGCCTTTGGGGGGAAACCTGCGCGGGCACGGCGCACAGTGGGCCAGAAGACCGGTGGAGGCGGTCGGAATCCCGGATGCGTTTTGAGCTCCGGAGTCGCTAAATGGGACACGAACCCAACGCGTGACCCCACCAATGGATTGCTCTCCGAACGAATAATCCATTGGTGGGGGTCACACGTGCGGTTCGAGTCCCCATTCAGCGACTCTGGAGCTCAAAACGCGCCTAGAATTTTGACCGCCCCCACCGGTCTTCTGGCCCACTGTGCCGCGGGACCTACATAGCAGCAGCAGGAGGACCCTCGTCGGGGCGTGGCATGGCATTCTCGCAGGCGCGGCCTGCAGACTGATTCCGAGCCGCCCCGTCTCTCTCGCACCTCCACGGAGCGTCCCGTGAGTGCGAGAGAGACAGCG